TCAGTGTAGGTGTTTTTTCCTCAATATGATATTATAAAACACTTAAGGTACATTTAAGCACACAGTTTAGCATATAATTTTTGGTTACATCATACAAAATGTCATCAAAGACATGGGTTGCTATGGTGATGAAAGTAACAACTTCAGTCATACTGTGCATACATTTTGTAAAATGATAGTAAATGTGAATATTCTTTTTTTTAAATTTTATTTAATTTGATTTTTATAAATAAAATTTGTTTGCAAATCTTGAGACATGCAGATTTTTATGCAAAAGGTAGTCAGGTAGAAATGTAGGTCGGCCAATATTTTTGTGTGTATCATTTAAAAACGAATGTCTCTCAAAATTATGGCATGAGTTCTGTTACAAACCAACATTATTTTAAAGCAGCATACCTCCAGATGAGCGAAAATATTTCAATAAATTCAAACTTGAGCAAAATGTACTACTAAGAGTTTAGGAAAAGCAGATAGATTCAAGATTGGAGTAATAATTTACATGTTATGTGCGATTAATGGTTATTTTTTCATTGTGTGTAACTATATTTCTATTTCTGATATTTTGACCTTGTTAGCTTACAGCAGTTTAAATCCCTTTGAAATTGTAAATTTTCCCTTTTTTAATATATTTTATGCTTTTAAATTATTTTTTTTAAAAATTTTCATGAAAATTTAAAAGCATTAGGCATTTGTTTTAAAATGCCCCGATTTTGATTATTATGTTTACAGTTTAAAAAAATTTTTTTTACACACAAGGTATATAAATGATATCAAAAGGATTTTTATCTGAAAGAAAAATTTATTTTATCCCCTTACCACATTTTTCTTAATGTATCATTTTTTAATGCAAATTTAATATTGTATTGTTTTTTGGGAAAAATACAAAAATTTTCTTTTGACATGGTTTTTATTGTAAATTTTTTAATTAAAATTTTAAAAAAGGGGAATTTTTGTGTTTTGTAATGTCTTATTTAAAAAAAGGTTTTTTTAATTGTTTTTAAAAAATTAAATTTTTTGCCAAGAATATTTTTGAGAAAAAATTACGGTCCACCCAACAGGTTTCCATAAACAATCAAAAACAAATTTTTTTGGGGAAAGTTAGATTTTTATCCCAATGGGTTTTTCTAAAAACCCCAGTGAAGAAAAAAAATTAAAATAAAGGCCCATATTTAAAGAGAGAACAAATCTTTAAATTGTTCATTTTTTTTTTTAAAGAATTAAAAAGTTTCAAAATTGAATTATAAAATGCTTTACAATAAAATTTTCTTTATTTCTTGGAAAAAAATTTAATAAATTTTAAAATCATTAATTATTATCTTTTTTATTTTTTCCAAACAATCAAAACCCAAACCCGAAAATATATCAAAAATAAAGATTTAAAATTAAAAAACCCAAAATGTACCATTTTTTTTTATTTTTAGTTTATTAATTTTTTTAACCCCCCCCCCCCTTGACACTTCCAATTTTTAACCCAAAACCCATTTTGCTTATTAAAAACTTTCATTTTAAAGTTTTAAAATTTCCCTTTACCCACGGGAAGTTTTAGTTTTTCATTTAAATTGTGAAAACACTTGTTAATTAACCCCCATAAACTAAAAAAAATTTTTTTTATGTGAATATATTTAAAGAATTTTAAAAGGTTTTAAAAAATGAAATAGGCAAATAAAAAAAGTTTTTTTTAAATGCCGGCATTTTTTAAAAAAGATGGAAGGTTAGGTGACCCCAAAACAGAGCTTTCTTTTTCGAGGCCTGAAGACACATAATTTCATTGAATTTCAATGTATTCAGTACAATTGTATTACTTAAATTGTACACTGAAAATTTTATAAGTATAATACTTCCTTAAGGCCAATTCTCACATTACAAGCTTAGACAAAAACACTTAACAAATATCAAAAAGTAGTAAGATTAAATTAAGTTAATTAAAAATGGGAAAAAGACCCAAAATTTCAGTTTAGCTAAAATTTGTAAGTGTTTTTTTAATTTTAAAACAATTTTTCCAACAAATTTTGAAAAACCTTAAATAAGGTATAAGTTAAAAAATTTACAATTTATGGAAACAAAAGGGGGAAAAAATTTTAGTAAAAAAAAGATTTTTTTTGTTTCAATTTTTGGGTTAGTAACTTAATCAAACAAGAAAAAAAAAAGAAGAAAAATACACACAGTTTTATAAAATGACATTAATTGAGCAAGATTATAGAAGCTATAATATCGACCTGTTCCAACTTTGTAATCTGATCTTTAACTTAGCTAACAAAGTCATATATCAATGTATACCTACGTCATGGCACACTTCTATATCAAACCAAATTCTATGAAATCAGAATTACAAACTAATTCAACGTAGTTATATAATACTGAAATAATATGAGAGTCTTATGTTAAAAATATGGAATTAAAAAAAATCAGTCTGCAAAATGTACTACTGAAATTACATTTTCATTGAAAAAAAAAAACACCAAAAAAACCCACCAAAAAAAAAAGGGTAAATTTATTTTTTATAATCAAAACTGACATTTAACAAATTAAGCTAGACAGAAGTTTGACTGCAGTACCTGTTGTAATACATTTACTAAAATTCTGTTTCCATGATTAAATACGTAAATGTTGAACATTGTTTTTTATTCTTATTGTAAAACACAGAAATAACAAAGCTATGTTTATAACATCAATCAAACAAGTGAAAGACAAAATAATTAATGGAACTGTTACTATAAATAAGCTTTTCTAGAGATGGATTGCAACTTGTTTACATCAAAAGATTTGAGAGGGGCTCTTTTATAATTATTGCTGTTTATTTATGTTTTACAGCAAAGTCCCTGAAATTTACAATGGATTGTTCCAAATTTAAAAGCAGACCAAATTCATTATACAAATTCAGCAAAGCAAGGGTGAAGTAACAATATTTGCAAGAGTTAAAACATTAATGAGAATAAAATCTAAAAAAACAATTGTTAAAAGCCTTTTTCAGTCATTCCATTTTTAGTTTTATGTACAAAACACTGACTTTGGAAAATGGAAAGTTCAGTACACAAATTTAGCCAATGCTATAGTAAAACATCGGCAAGAACTTTATCTAAAAAAAAAACAAACAAAAAAAAACCGTTTAAATACTGTTTTAGCCATTACATTTTTAGTTTAATATTCAAAAGACCATCTTAAGTTCAGAAAAAATATAATTCAGGAATAAACTTGAAAGCTTTCATTTAAAGCTATACAAATACTACATGTTCGTACAATTCAAAGATAAAATAAAAACGGTTTTATAAGTTTAAAAACTTTGTAAAACTCTCAACATTAAAGAGCTTTTATTTGCGTAATTGATTAAAAAATAATTATGCAAATGTTCGTATAAAACAAATTTATGCGTAGATACAAAAAATATGGCAGATAATAAACTTTTGCTGTAGGAAAAAATAAGACAATTTACAATATAAATGACACTTTTACCAAACTTTTACCATAAAAAAATAATACATATCGTAAAAAAAAAAGAAAAAAAAAACAATCAAAAACAAAACAACAACATATCCTTATCTGTTAAACTTAAACTACTGTTTCTAGTTTTCCAGTTTTGATACAAAACAGATGTATTCAAAATGTGAAATAACACAGTTAAAACTGTATACCATATCACTTGAAATGTTTTTTGGTATATTAAGAACACCCATAGAAGGTAAGCCTCAGAAATATATTTGTTTTCTCTCCCACAATCCATGACACAGGTCCTTCAGAAATTCAAGCACCCTAAAATCCCTGATCACAAAAATCAAGCACTCAAACTCAGGGATGCTGAACTCAGCCTACAGAATACTCTGCTGCTCTACATGTGTAAAATAATTTTTTATCTCAAATCTTCTTTTTTTCATTTTCGTATCTTAATTATTTGGATTTACAAACAGGAACATGTACTTGTTAAATCATTGTTTATAGCCTCTAAGCCTCTGTTTGAAGTTTAAAACGTCAATAACATTATTGTTATATATTGACAGAACTGTAAAGTGACCTCCTCCCCCTAAATTTTGTAAGTAATAAAACAATTTAGACTGCAACAATTTTTGTGACTATGTCATGAAAGTGTAAACAAACAATATCTTATCATAGGCTTTATAAATCAACATGCCCTATAGATGGTATAAATATGCCATATCATTAAATCAATATGGCTTATCAAACAATTACTTGTCACTAAACACAATATCTATATGCAAATTTCTCAATTATTTGTATGTACAACACAAAATATCCTGTGTGCATACATTTTGTATTAAAATACCTATATTTATACATAAGGGATTTCAATACATGATATTCCTAACATCTAGACTAGAATGAATCATTATCATTTTGGTCAAGTATAAAATAAAAATCTGTGACCTTAAAAGTCCCATTAATTTATTCTAACAAATTTGTTCAACAATTGAATTTGTTTGTTTGTTTGTTTGATTGGGTTTTACGTCACACCGACACAGTATATGTCATATGGCGACGTTCCAGCTTTACTGGTGGAGAGACACCTCAGGTGCCCCTTTCTCGTAACATTTTTTAAAAGCAACCCCAGTAGAACCCAAACCATGTTCCGTAAAAACTAGCTGATAGCTTCCTACTGAAAGAATCAAATCCTGTTTAGGGGTTGAACCACATGGGGAGGGGGGAAAATGGGTTTAAATCAACACCTTAACCACTGGCAAAAAACCTTTATTTGACTCTTTTTTCTGTTTTAATCTCTAAAGTATTTCTTACTTGTCCCTATCAATTTTTTATGTTAATTTTTGATATTTTCCCTTTTTCCGGAGGCTGTGGGGGCACCCGGGCAATATGGACAATTATTTTTCCATCTTGCGGTAGTGGTAACTATTTTATATTTTTGGAGATAAAATTTACCCTACTTTTTGAGCATTTTTTGAAACAAAATTTCCACAAAACATTTAAAATTGCTCAAAAATTCAACCCTTTCCCCTTTATAAAATAAATTAAAAATGTGGAGGGGAATAAAAAACAGAAAACTTCTCAATAGTAAAAGAACATTAAAGCTAAAAACCTTGAAATAATTAAAGATTTACTATACGAAGAATCTATAATAAAATTTTAAAAAAATACAATAACATTTGCATCTGTGTGAGTATTAGTTCTTGCTGTAAGAGTAAAATAACATGATGAATCATTATTCCACTTAGTATGGTACCATAAACAAATCTTTACCGTATACTTGCACACTGGTTACATGTAGGCTTAACACTAGAATAAATCTTAAAATATAGTATCAAACGATTTGCATCATTTTATATGACCATTACTATCTGGTTTAGGAGTTTTCACGGGTAATTCCATACTTCCCAGCATTCCCTGTAGTTTTCTAGCATCTTGAAAGATTTTTGTTAATGTATACATTAATACACCAGCTACTACGAAAAAATTTCCTAACCACCAATACAAAGTCTTTGATTCATGGTAAAACAGTACTGCCAGAACAGTTTGCATCACTGACTTAGCGTTTATACTTAGATGATGGGCTATTGGTGACGTATATTTGATCTGTAGTGCACTAACCCATCCTATTGCCAAACTCAGGCAACCAGTTACTATTAATATAAACCAGAACTTTGGCTGATAGATTAAATCTGAATTAAGCACTGAATAAAATTGCCCCGAGCCTAGACACAAAGGCAGAAATATGACCATACAATTAAGGTTATTGTAATATGCTAATTTGAGTGAATCGCCATCCAGCAATGTCTCCGCTTTCTTGAAAAGAATTCCCGAAACAGCAGCCGACAAACTTGCCAATATTCCATAAATGACGCCAAAAACACTCAACGTGCCCGAAACGTCCTCCTGGTCAATTCCTATGAAGAACCCGCATACCACGAGAAAACAAGATATCACAGCTCTTAATGTCAACCCACGTCCAAGAACTAGTGCAGATAATCCTATAGTAAAGATAATAGTGAACGATCTAGCTACCTGGTAAAATGCAACTCCAATATGCTTCAACATTAAATTATTGAATGTTAATCCACATACTGAACTCATTGACAACATCAGCATTGTCCTAGAATATAACTGATTCGGATCCACTTTCGGCACTTTGGCTTGCACTCCACACTTAGCAAAGCCAAATCTAATGCACAGAATGAATCCAACTGCGACCATGCTCTGAAACCAGGCGGAGAAGATCGTCAATTCCTCTTCACCGAATGCTCCACTCAGAATGGTTTTGTTAAGGAATACCATTGAAATAGACACTGACCAGTACATTAGTATCACACCTGCTATCAGGCCATATGGCCGTTTTACTGAACTCTCCTCCGTCATTTTGACCTCTGACCTCAACTCCACCACTTGCTCAGTTTGACCTCTTTCTGTGATAAAATAAAGATGAAATTTCATCATACATGTTTCTAGATTCATACACTTTCAGTTGCAAAACATCTTGAACAGTGGAAATGTCATAGCTTTCATACATGTACAAATCAAGTATGTACATGTAATACTACTAAAATTGAAAGACAAATATTTATATAAACTGAAATAATTGAGCCTATGTGACTGACATGTAAATTTATAACTCACAGCAGCTAATATTATTAAAGGCTCATAAAGTCTAAGAAATGACTTAATTTAAACCATCTGTATACAAATACTATTGTAATAAGGGATTTAGAACATGTGAAATGCTTATAACCTATCAAAAGGAACACTGAATGTGAAATAATTTGTGCTATTTTGACTTCCAATCAAAATTAATAATGTCAGAATCAGTAAATTTGTATTGTCAAAACCCAAAAGATGCAAACTATTACTCAGATAATTATATGGTCAGTTAGAATCTTTTTGCAAACTGTAACAAGATAGCATTTGTAGGCTTAATGGGCCTTTAAATTCAGAGAATGAAATTCCAAAAATAGATTTTTGTACAACACTGTGCAATGTTGATGTAGAAAGAGTTCAATCTTTGAAATCAAAACAAATCATACAATAAAACTAATACATAATTAAAATGTTAAAATGCATGATGATATTGGATAATTTATATCTTGGATTCAAGCAGCATGGACTACATAAATTCTCAACTTATTTTCAAACACTTTTTTGTCTTGGTTTGGATGAATTCATCAAGATCATCATCATAAATTTACATGTGTTTACAGATAAGAATTTATATTTTGCAAACATTATAAAAATGACTAAATTTATGTTAAAATATAAACAGCCGTTTACCTATTTTTTTCAATGTAATAACTAGGGTTATTAATAATGCACCTTTTTCATGCATTAACATTTGTAGAAACATGAGGCTGCATTTAAAGCCTGAGTCTACAGCGCTAGGGATTTTAATATATCCAAGAACTTCTGCAGATGTTAAGGCTTAGGCAAAAAAAAGAAGGTGCAGCATGAAAGTAAAAGCGTAAAATTATTGAAAATGAAAATTGTTTGTTGGTATGGGACAAATAATGGGAAAAATGGTCTGGGATTGACAGAATTACTGTCATTCAATTTAATACTTGTGCAGGATGATAGGACATGTAGTTGCTATTTATGCACCAGTGGATTGTAAACATTGCCCCCCCCATTTAAGGCCATTGAATAAGCTCTAAATATTGGAATATCAAAAGCCTGGTAATAGCCCCACAATGTGGGGACATTTACAAGGTAAAGTCTCAGCTAAATGGCTCTTCTTTGTAAGTATGAAATATTCGATGATATTTTCACCCTAAAACAAAATAATAAAAGCTGGGAGGTAAAAATGTGATTGTTTTCCCTTTTCACCCGTCTGCTGTGGTCAAAATGGCTGAAGTTGTGGTTACAATTGCCCGGTACATAAGAGGTAAAGGCTTTTTCAGATTAACTTTAACATAGGGCAACAAGGTAAAATGTGTGTACATAAGTGTTACAGAGTCTTAAAATGTTTTTTTTCTTCTATATTTATAATTACAATGTATGACGTTATCTTTGTTTATAATGTCTAAATGGTACACTGCCAGCTCTTTAAAATGTTAACCTTAGTATAACGCTAACCTTAGTATAACGCTCATAGACCATGGCTCACTCCCTCCAAAAAAAATCATACATTTTGCAAATTAATTTGAGCCACATCACGACAAAACCAACATAATGAGTTTGCGACCAGCATGGATCCAGACCAGCCTGCGCATCCGCGCAGTCTGATCAGGATCCATGCTGTTCGCTATCAGTTTCTCTACTTGTTATAGGGTTTGTAAGCAAACAGCATGGATCCTGATCAGAATGCGCAGGCTGGTCTGGATCCATGCTGGTAGCAAACCCATTATGTTGGTTATGTCATGACACCGCTCATTTGTTTTCATGTTTATTTTATGGCGCCATATCCACTGTAACGCTTGTTACAGTGTTAAAGTGACACTCAAGTACAATAATTGTAATTAAGGACACTTGTTAGGGTAGAAGATGTGAAAAGCATGCACAAGTTAGCTTTGATCTGCTCTTTTGTTTGTTCTACCTGTCGACAAGTTAGTTATCAAAATGTTATAAAATCTCCAATTCAAACTGTAGCTGTGACATGCAGACATTGATGAATTAGGTAAACCACACAAGCCCAAAATCATTTTAAAAAGCATGGCTTAAAATATTACAGAGATAGAAGATATATATAATGTGGTGCAAAAGCATTATAACCAGGTTGATGTTTATTTTTTGTTTGTATCACTCAGGCAATATTTTTTCTTCAAAAAAAAATGATATGTAAAGTTCAACAATGCCAGTTTAGTCCTTAGCCCTAGATAACTAAGAAAACAGGGTAAACAGTGTTGAGGTTTATGATAAGATGCCAATAATTGATTGTATATATATGTAAGGGTGTTTATTTTAACAATTACTCACCTAATGAATTCATGGCAAGAAAGTTCATGCAAATTAACCAGAAATTTCTTCACTGCCAAAAGTGTATCACTGTCAACAACAAATGATGCAAGAATAAATTGTTTTCTTCTAAAATTTTATTTCAGTCAAGTGGTCATATGTTTTCTTACATGTGCTATATAAGCTTTTTTAAGCGCAACCAGATTTCATTTATGACACAGTCAGTTCTCTAAACTTCTTCAGGTGTGGTATTGCATGACACTGTGCTACATGTTGTATCCCATATTCCAATTTAATACTATGTGGTTTGAAATATAACACTTTTTTAACAGTAAGAAAGTCTATTCTACAGAACAATACTGGACTTGTTAAATAATTAACTGTCAAACCTACCATATATGTCAGACCATTTTACATACGATTTATATTTAGTGAGATACGCAAACACTTATCTTTCCTTGAAAAACTACTGATAAGAATAGCATGTTGTCCACATTACTAGTTCATAAAGTGTTTATTGGTGTATTGACCTGGAAACACTGTTTGCAGTTTGGAACAATTCAACTCTTTAGAAAGCTTGTGTGTGCAATCTGTTTCCGTATATAATAATTATCAGCGCATCGCATGTTTAATTATAAAAAACACATGATGTCAAACAGTGATTTTCTTACATATTTATACACCCTTTCCGTCCATCTATGTTCAATAGAGGATAATGCGGGTCGTGTTAAAATGTTGTTTAGTTTTGTTTTTAACCATATAATTATAAATTCCTTCGTGCATATCAAAGTCTCGGTTAGTTCCTCATCGGCGCCCGTTCCTCATACCTAAATAATGCTAAAATAATATCAATACATACTTCTATCTCTTCTCTGTCTCTCTATCATTCGTCAAAGGTACACAAACATGTCATTTTAACATGAATACCGAATAAATTTTATTGATGTTCGTCATGGTTCTCAACCCGTGTGATCATGATCAAACAAGTGCTTGGGCGTATTTGATTCGGCTACAATTTGTGTTTTACTGGTAATATCTAGAGCTCAGGATAGTGGATATCTACTGTACTGGCCCGGCTTTCACTAACGTTCTCAAAGTCAAAATCTCAGCTCAAATCTGAGATTTTTCTCAACTCAGAGACTGAGATTGAGATTTTTCTCAGTTTGGCTTTCACTAACAAAATCTGAGAAAAATCTCAACTTAAGACTTGAGATTTTTCTCAGATTTATTGAGACAAAGGTTTGCCGTCTCAGTTTTTGTCTCAGACAATCAAAATGGCGCTTTCAAGAAGAGTACACCTTCGTCGTCGGCGTGACAAACGAGTTTTTAGAAAACGATTCTCGTTAGATGATATGGATGATGGAGAACTTAGGAAAAGATACAGATTTTCTAAGGCTTCCATTTTGTACATACTCGCTATAGTAGAGAGATTTTTGATTAGATCGACGAGAAGGAGCCAGTCTGTGCCACCAATGCTTCAGCTTCTGACAGCCCTGCGGTTTTTCGCCACGGGGTCTTTCATGCGCCTCGTCGGCGATTCTACTGGGCTGTCAGAATCGTCTGTTTCGAGATGCGTGATAAGGGTCGCCAAGGCACTTGTTTCTGCGGCCAAGGATTTTATACGCATGCCTTCGGCTTCCCAAACAAGGATCACAAAGGAAAAGTTCTATCGTATCAGTAGTAAGTCAACTATATAATTTTCTTTTGTTTACATTATGTACCTAAAAATAGCATTACTGAAAAGAAATGGAATTTCCAAAATTATTGTTACTAAATTTGGACTGACCTTGATATTTACAGCGAGGCTAGAATTGCAAATGGCTGCTAACGATTGAAGGATTTACAAAAAGTGATTCAGCAAATCCTTAAAGATAAGTTTTTTAATTGATAAATCGTTTGAATATGCTCCATATATATCTGCCTCAATTTGTCTGATTAACTTTTTGTGCATATGAGAAATCAATTTTACAGGGACGCTGAACTACTTCAGTATATTCGTTCCCAAACATTTTCGTACTCGACGATTAAAGACCATTATTATGATATAACCAGCCAACATTTATAATTAAAACATTTAAAAACAGATATCAAAATATGTTTAAGATATCTTATATATACGCGTCATTGAGTAAACTATTTTTATCACAGAAATCTATCTTATAGATCTAATAGTAATAGATCTAAGTCTTATTTGATTAAAAGAATTAATAAACTAGGTAAAATGTAAGAAGGTGCCTAAAGCATACGTTTTGTAGTTGTTCTTGTCTTAAATAAACCACCAGTCTTTTTTGATTGACACTTTATATTCATATTGTGACCACATGTAGCCTTATAGTATAATTTTAGACATAACATATCTTCATTTGTGTGAAGTCAAAATATGTTTATTTCATTTAATTTAAAGAGACTGTGTAACAGCTATAGTACATGTATCAATACTAAATTTGATATCAAATTTGAGCACCTTACTTATACATTTTTTTAAATGATCAAACATGTATACAAGACAGTCATTTTTAATGTATATGTAAGTATTAATTAATTTGCTAATAAAAATTTAAATTATGAAATTATATCCCATACTGTGATTTTATTGCTCAATAAAATCACAGGAATTGGATTCGATGAATTATGTCAAGAGGGCGTGGCCCACGAGATATCATGTTGTGCATCTGTACGACAAACAGCGATTTTATCAAGTGATAAAATCAAAGTTTGTGATTTATTATTTGGATTCTAACATGACATCAACAAATAATTGCTGCCACCAGGATCAATAAGCTAAAATGTGCCTCGTTTGTTTCTGTACTTATTTTCATTGCGTCAATTGTTTTAGTGGTTACGTCACATGTTCAATGGTTTGTTTCACATATTTAAATATAGAATGACTCAACAGTGATTTTGTTGCATAAAAACACACAAATTTCAGTTCTCTGTGTTCAGTGGGGAAATATGTGGCTTGTGTTAAAATAGTAGATAATATACTATGATGTTCAAGTAAATAATTTATCACAGTATTACATGATTTAATATATGCTTTGCTTCAGAATTTCCAAATGTAATTGGAGCTGTGGACTGTACGCACGTTAAGATTCAGGCCCCAACCAACAATGAAAGTGACTTTGTAAACAGAAAAGGGTTTCATTCGATTAATGTACAGGTATATGATTATTAAATTATTTCTGTAATTAGTTTACAAAGAAAGCTTAAAATAATGTTAGTAGTTTAAGGTGTTAATCAAATTCATTAAAAATCATATGATTGCAAAGAAACATGTTATCCATTTTCTGTCCCATGGATAATTTTATAAAAACAACAATTAGATGGCAGACTGACAACCACAGTCTCTGTTGTATCTGGCTTTCAACCTTATTCTTGACATGACTCTTGTTTTTTACTTATCTTAATGTTATATTATTGAACTGATACTAATTAGGGGCGATAGTTTGTAAGTGGTCAGATAGCTCAGTATGAAGAGCTGCGGTATGGCTTTCTTAGGGTCTTGAGTTCGAGTCCCCACCAGGCCGCCCTTTTTTACTTGTTGACATTAGGTTTAAATTTTGTACATAACTTGTATCAAATTACAAAAAGGTGCACGAAAACTTGCTTGTGCAAGTTTTTGAAATGACAGAACTAGAGTTATTTGTACATGTGAGCGCATGTGTTACAAAATACGAATATAACATGTTTTTATAAAGGAGACGACTTAGACATGAATATTTATACAAACTGAATATAATTTTGTTTTAGATGGTTTGTGATGCTGAATTTAAGTTTTTAAACTGTGTAGCAGAGTGGCCAGGCTGCACACATGACGCAAGGGTCTTTAGGAACAGTAAACTCTGTGAAAGTTTGGAAAATGGTGAGTTAACACTTTCTTTCCTTTATGCTCTCAGTTATATTTAACATACAATTAATTTCACTTATTTATCATCTTCAAATCTTTATTCATAATAAATTTAATACAGAAAAAAATTAAAATTAAATTTTTTCTGAGCTATGATCATTAACAGATATCCACAGTGATTGGGACTCAAAATATTTATAATTCCCGGACACTAACATGAAGTCTGTCTCAGTTTTACTATGTCATGAATTAAGGCCATCCTTAAAAAAATGTTTGTTTGCAGTAACCCGACCCAGAATTTTCAAGGTGGGTAGGTAGGTCGCTTTTTTTTTATATTGAACTGTACTCCCAAATAAACATGGAATTTCAAAATGCTGGACAATATAATTTTATGCTTTGATAATCTGTTAACAATTAATAAATTGATAACTGAATTCTAATTTAATAAGACCTACATTTTATTTCTTCAGTTAACCTTTAAAAGAAGGAAAACAAATCACAAGGCATAATTTTCTGATTCAAAAAAAAAAATATTTTTTTTATCCAGACCATGAAAATTTTTTTTGAGTAGTGGCAAATCTTGTGAGTCGGTCGCGTTACTGCAAACAAACATTTTTAGCTCGACTATTCGAAGAATATGAGAGCTATTGTAGTCGCCCCGGCGTCGGCGTCCGCGTCGGCGTTGGTTAAAGTTTTTTGTAAAGTCAAATATCTCAATTATTACTTGAGATATTCAATTTAAACTTACAATACTTATTTATAGTAACAAGGTACATCAGATTGACAAGTTTGATAACTCTGCCTACAATATTGACAGAATTATGCCCCTTTTTAACTTAGAAATTTTGGTTAAAGTTTTTTGTAAAGTCAAATATCTCAATTATTGCTTGAGATATTCAATTGAAACTTACAATACTTATTTATAGTAACAAGGTTCATCAGATTGACAAGTTTGATAACTCTGCCTACAATATTGACAGAATTATGCCCCTTTTTAACTTAGAAATTTTGGTTAAAGTTTTTTGTAAAGTCAAATATCTCAATTATTGCTTGAGATATTCAATTGACACTTACAATACTTATTTATAGTAACAAGGTACATCAGATAGACAAGTTGGATAACTCTGCCTACAATATTGACAGAATTATGCCCCTTTTTAACTTAGAAATTTTGGTTAAAGTTTTTTGTAAAGTCAAATATCTCAATTATTGCTTGAGATATTCAATTTAAACTTACAATACTTATTTAAAGTAACAAGGTACATCAGATTGACAAGTGGGATAACTCTGCCTACAATATTGACAGAATTATGCTCCTTTGGAACTTTTTTGTTAAAGTTTTTTGTAAAGTCAAATATCTCAATTATTGCTTGAGATATTCAATTGAAATTTAAAATACTTTTTTGTTGTAACAATGTACATCAGTGTGCAAAAATTGCATAACTCTGCCTGCAATATTTGCAGAATTATTTGCCCCTTTGAAACTTAGTAATTTGGGTTAAAGGTTAAAGGTATTCAAAGATATTTACTTGAAACTTTACACATGCACTTAGGGTCATAATTGGAGGGTCATAATTGTATGTCACTGACCAAGTTCCATAACTCTATCTTGCATTAAGGCTGATTCATATCCCCTTTTCTACTTAGTCTCTTGGTTAATGTTTACATGCAAGTTTTACATATCTCAATAACTATTAAAGGTATTTATTTAAAACTTCACATATGCATTTAGGGTTATAATTGTAGGTCACTGACAAAGATCCATAATTCTATCTTGCATTTAGGCTGATTTTTCTCCCCTTTTTCAACTTAGAAATTCACGGTAAAGTTTTGTTTGTAAGCTGTTATCTCAATAACTACTGAAGGGTTTGTCACTTTGTGCCTTTTTTGGGACAATTTTATGCATTCATAATAATAAAGCAGTGATTTCTTGATAAAACATCTTAATAACAAGCCTTTGTACCTTGTCTGTCAAATTTATTTTTCATAGGTAATTAGTATTATTATATTCAATAAAACACCCTTGTGACATTACCTTCCGAATAGTCAAGCCAATACTGTATAATTAGACTCTCTCTAAGGCCTATAACATGAATTTATAAAAAAAAATTAGCCCTTTTGTGAACTTAAAAAATTTAACATTATCAAGGCTCTTTTACTATCAAGCACTTAGAATAGTCGAGCGTGCTGTCCTTCCGACAGCTCTTGTTTTAAGGATGGCCTAAGCCATCTTCATAATCATTGTAATATTAGTTTGTTTAGAAATGTTAAATCATAATTTTTTCTATAATAAAAGTAAAGTTGTATTATAAAAATACATTTAATGCTAAAGATATTCACAATCTCTAATGTAATCATGAATTCATATATGAATGTAAATCACTATAAGCAAATGACATGTCTTCGGAATGTATTTTCTATTATATCAGTTTGATGCCAACAAAAATATGTATGTATTAATGTTTCAGGACAGTATGATGGACTTTTGGTTGGGGACTCTGCTTATCCATGTCGCCCTTTCCTAATGACACCATTCAACCAACCTAGTGACGAAAAGGAAAGGAAGTTTAATTCAGCATTGTGTCGGGCGAGAGTCCTTATTGAACAAAGTTTTGGTATTTTAAAGAGAAGGTTTCCATGCCTACAGGTCGGGCTTCGCATGTTACCTGAGAGGGCTGCACTTGTCACAATGGCATGTGTTGTCCTCCATAACATTGCCATGCAGAGGGATGAACCTCTTGACGACACTGGCGAAGTTGACATTGGAAATGATGCCAGCAATGTTAGCCTTCCAGAACATAACGATGGATCTGGAATTCGCCAACATTTATGTCAAAATTTCTTTTAAGCACAGGAAACTGATGTTTAAAACAAAACAAAAGTATTTCAACAACCAAGGAAACATCACACCCTTATATTATGTATATATTGTTGAATTTTTGTTTTGTTTTAAACTTCAGGCTTCTGTGTCTGTAGGCAAGGAAACCTTCATTTTATAGAGGATATTTGTTTGTATTGTATGTAATAATGAAATATATTTATTTATCACACACCCGTGCCGATTTTGCGACTCCGTAAATATGGTATTGCACGGCCGTGCATATATTTTGACGTGACGTCATTAGCGTTATACAAACATAGTGTTAAGACGCGCTAAATGTTGGTGTTTAAGTATAGGCGCGTCAATGAAAAATGACTCTTATTTCACTTTAAACGGTCTTGATTTTATGGTATGTGATAAATAGAATATTAAATTCGTGTAAGTTCATTACTGAATATATTGCACTCGTTGAATAAAATAATATTATGCTCGCCAAAGGCTCGCATAATATAATTTTAATCAACTCGTGCAATAAATTCAGTATTGAACTTACACTCATTCAATATCCTCTATAGAATATCTGGAGTATGCAAATGAAATATATTTCAATCTAATATGTAAAACAAATAAATTTTCTTTTTGTGCCCCCAATTAAAAGTGGGGCATTTACCCTTGTCCGTCTGTTCGTTCTCTTTTGTGCCGCAGGTAACTAAAAAAATATTTGACCTAGTCATTAAACTTTACAGGATTGTTGATAAGCATGAGCAGTTGTGCACCTCGGTATTTTCATGTGGATTATATAGTGTTTTTAGAGTTACTGCCCTTGACTTAGTAAAAATTTGCATTTTTCAACTTGTGTCACATGTAACTCAAAAAGGATTGGACCTAGTCCTGAAACATTACAGGAATATTGATCAGCACGTGTAGTTGTGCACCTGGTTATTTTCGTGTGGATTTATTCAGTATCTTTTACAGTTATTGCCCTTGACTTAGTAAAAATTTGCAATTTTCAACTTGTGTCGATGTAACTAAAAAATTATTTGACCTACAATCATGAAACTTTACAAGAATGTTGCTCAGTATATGAAGTTGTGCACCTGGGGTTTCAATTGTGGAATTATTCTATTGATATAGAGTTACTGCCCTTGACTTAGTAAAAAATTTGCAATATTCAACTTGTGTCGCATGTAACTCGAAAAGGATTTGACCTAGAGTCATGAAACTTTACAGGAATGTTCAATGATCAGCATGTGTAGTTGTACTTGTGAATTTATTCAGTATTTGTAAAGCTCTTGCCCTTTACTTAGTAAAAGATTTTTACTTTTCAACGTCCAAAAATATGTAGTAGGGCACCTTTGTCCTATGCACACATTTCTAGTCATTGCATGCTTTTTAAGTGATTCTAATTATTATTTTACTGATTTTGATGTATACTGTTAGGTTGTGCATTTACTTTATGACGTCATGACATAATTACGTCACATCATCAATTTTGAAATATTGTTCTTTTGCATTGCTCTAATTTTTAACATGATGTATGATGCATTTCTCTAATTTTTAACATGATGTATGATGACATTGACTTTCTTTTTCCTGGAGAAGCGAACTTTATGTATGAGAGCATTTTTTTTGCCTATTATTATCCCCTGCTGAAAACTGGCCGGGGATATAGAAATAATCTCTCTCCGTCAATCCAACCTTCTGCCATCCGACATTTTTTGTCCGGAGCATATCTCAAAAAGTATTAGAGGTATCAACTTGAAACTTCATAGGTGGATAGATCTCATTGAGGAGTGCAGCACACAAGATATAATAACCTAACCTGCATTATTTTTCAGTTTTTGCCCTTTGTTATTTTCAGCCATCAGTATTCACATAGGTTTCATGTCTGTAATCACTTCAGCCATCAGTTTTATTTACCTAAAGACCTCTTAAAATTGAATGATTCTGCTCTAGTACATATCATTCAACACATTCGGCAGGGGATGGTCATGTAAAAATGGCTCTTGTTCAATTAAGTTATGGTATTCTTTTCATCAGCATTCAGATATAGTCCAGCTGCAGTGAAAATTATATGTTATAAATTTCACTAGTGGTTTGTCAGATTATAGGCCTCTCCTTTTTTCAACGAAATTAAGAAATCTAAATGAAAACAGAACTTTTGAATTTTCAAATTTTATTATGTTGATGTTAACATACATTTCATTATACTCAAGAATTAAAGGCACATTATGCCTCAGAAACCTTTTAATATTTCCTTCTTAAAAAAGGGCAAATATGAGGTTCATAACATTTAATAAATGACTTAACAGCATGTTAGATGTACACAATTTATTGCCTGGAAAATCTAGAGCTGAATGTGAAAGTCTTGGTCATACTTGTAAAAGTAATGAAATGTAAACCATGGATTATTTTTATTTCCATTCAAATTGCTAAAACACTGTAAATGAGCCGTGTCACGACAAAACCAACATAATCGCAGTCTGATCAGGATCCATGCTGTTCGCTATCAGTTTCTGTACTTATTATAGAGTTTGTAAGCGAATAGCATGGATCCTGATCAGAATGCACGGATGCGCAGGCTAGTCTGGATCCATTCTGGTTGCAAACCCATTATGTTGGCTTTGTCGAGACGCAGCTCAAATGTATTTATTGCCAAAATAAGCAGCAGAAAAAGATTGCTTAGGTAATTAGCAAATGTATAACTTAAATCCTTTTTTTTTTGAAAATATAAGCAGATATCAAAAATAAATAAAGGACATTGAACAAGTGTATGTTCAGTACTAATGAAATCGAACAAGTTGGATAAAATAATATCATGCTAGCCTCTGGCGAGCAAAATATTTAATATTAAACAAGTTCAATAACTTTAGAAATGAATCAACACAAATGTGATTTTCTTTTTATCACATATCCAAAATAATAACTGATCATTTCTGTAAAGTTAAGTTGAAATAATTTGACCAAGTGAACAGTAAAAGATATGGGTATCAGTTATCTATTTCACAAAACTATATCACTTTTGAGTGATTTTATTTTGCCGATTAAAGCTGATTTAGTGTTTAAAGGTACACACACACAAAGTCAAAGACTTTTGTAGGCCTGAGTGATGAATCACAAAGTTCTTAAACAATAAAACATGGATTATTGTAGTATTGATATATATTTCCATTTCATTATGAAGATAGAAAGAAAATCTGTATAAAAAATTGCTTTACTACATTGACTTTGTATAAATCAAAACAAATATCGTTTTCTACATTTTTACAATTATTTTTGATAAAGAATCTGTTATTTATTAATAATGCAAAATGCAAAAATAAATACTAGAAACCATAAATTATGTTCTTGTTGTATTCAATATTTGAGAGTTTCAAGTCCATTATTAGCTCATCTGAGTATTTATATTCCCAATGACAAGGAAAAAGTAATATTGTAAGCTATAAACTAAAGAAGATATAAATTCTAAATAATTATTTGATTTTAACAAAGTTCATATTTGTACCTGAAATAGTGCAAATGTAAAAACAACTGGTTGCTATTGCTAAAGGAAAACAACATTTACATAAGAAGTCGCCTGTTGCTTTACAAAATTAAAAGTTTCCTTGGTAGTCAGTGCCTGCTATGAAATACAAAGACAGATTCAGTTGTTGCTATGGAAAGTTAATGTTTGCTGTAGAAGTAATTGGTTGCTAGCAAAGTTCCAGTTTGCTAATAAAAAGTCATTGGTTGCTATGGAGTTATTTGATACCATGGGTACTGAGTTTTAGCTCTTGTAGATTTAGAGAAGATTTTTTTAGTTTCTTTTATTATGCCCCCACTTTGAAGAAGAGGGGGTACATTGCTTTGCACTTGTCGGTCCGAAGACCAAATGGTTTCCGAGTGATAACTAAAGAACCCTTAGGCCTAGGAACTTCAAACTTGGTATGGTGATTGGTCATGACCAGCAGATGACCCCTCTTGATTTTGGGGTTAAGGGGTCAAAGGTCAAGGTCACATCAACCTTGTAGGTAAAACGGTTTCTGATCAATAACTAAACAATCCTTAGGCCTAGGAACTTTCAAACTTGGTATGGTGATTGTTTATGACCAGTAGATGACCCCTATTGAGTTTTGGAGAATATATGTTCCCTGGGGCAGGGCAAAGTATGACTTGAGGATTATTATTTGAAAATACAAAATATCTGACAAAAAGACTCTACACTATAAAAATAGAAGGAATGATCTTTCTTAGTTTTTACAAAATTGGCCTATTGTTGTTTTAACCTTTTATCCTATGAGCATATTGTGGGAAATCGCCGTTTGACACATATTTTGAACAAACTTAGTATACACTTATTAGAACATGTTTCATGCTAAATATCTTAGCTCTAGCTCTTTAGAAGATTTTTTAAGTTTTTGCTATACACATATAAGGAAAATGAATGACCCCTGGGGCGGGCCAATTTTGTCCTCAGGGCTTTTATTTGAACAAACTTGTTGGACATCCATAATAAGATGTTTCATGCTAAATATCTTAGCCCTAGCTCTTTGGGTTCTCTAAAAGAAGATTTTTTAAGTTTTTACTATGTGCATATAGGGAAAATCAATGACCCTCTGGGGCGGGGCCAATTTTGACCCAAGGGCTTTTATTTGTACAAACTTGGTAGAAATTCACTAGAAAATGTTTCATGCCAAATATCTAAGCTCTAGCTCTTTGGGTTTTTAAAAGAAGATAAATATAAAAGGTGACCACCAAAGGAACATTCCTGTGAAGTTGGGATGAAATTGGCTTAGTGGTTTCTGAGGAGATGTCATTTAAAGTAAAAGTTTACGGATGCCGGACAAAAAAGCGATCACAAAAGCTACACCAGACAAAAAGCGATCACAAAAGCTCACCCTGTCACTTTGTGAAAGGTGATCTAAAAAGGCTATAGTTTTGTCTTAACAAGAGCTGTCAGTAGGGCAGCAACGCTCTACTATTCTTAGTGCTTGATAGTAAAACAAGAGCGATCAGTGATCACATGTGTCGCCTCATGATGGCCAATTTCATGTTGTGACAAATTTTGTGACAGACGGACAGACAGTGCACAACTAGACTTGGTACTGATCATTCCTGTATTGTTTGGATAAAATTGCATCAGTAGTTCATGAGTAGTCCGGACAAATTTTTGTGTATCTGGCAACACACAGAAAAAAAAAACACCTTTTTATCAAAGGACCATAACTCGGCCAAAAATCATTCAACCGGAAAAACCCGTGCAATATGCGCAAGGACTTGAGCTACAGATCAACCCTGTTAAGTTTCAATGGAATTGCATTAGTGGTATAAGAGAAGAAGTCCGAACAAACTTTAGAAATAAAAATTATTAAAGGGCAATAACTCTGACAAAAATCATTGAACCTGAAATAGATGACAATATGCACAACTAGACTTGGTACTGATCATTACTGTAAAGTTTGGATGAAATTGCACTGGTAGTTTATGAGGAGTATTCCGGACAAGTTTTGTGATGGACAGACAGATGGACAGACTTGATAATGTAAAATTTTCTAAGTTAACAAAAAGGCAATTTTTTTTTAAACCTGTAACAGTTATAGGCCTTGAAGAAAGTCCTATTATGCTCTAAAAGAAGAGTATAAAATATCAACTTGTTTCAAAGCCAGATGTCAATAGAATATGAAAATATCTGAGGTGGTATGCAAACTTAAATATAAATTCTAAGTGGAAAAAGGAGCATTATTCTGCCAAATGCTTTATACAGTTACCTCCTCCTGTATACAGGTTGGGGTCATGATGGTGAACAAGTGTGCAAAGTTTCAAAGCCATATGTCAATGGACTTTGAAAATATTTGAGGTATTACAAAAACTTTAACATAAGTGGTTACGCAGACGCCGATGCTCGGATGACTACAATAGCTAAAAATCAAAATCAAATTTATCTAATAAACTGACAGAATGGGGATCCTCTGCCAGTCTTGACAACATTAATTCTAAAATTGATTTTTTCAATTTTATATTTTCTATTTCTTTTTCAATTTTCACGGTTTCTTTTTCAATTTTCGCTGTTTCTTTTTCGATTTTCGCTGTTTCCTTTTCTAATTTATAAGTTTCCTTTATTATTCTTTCAGTGTCAAGTTTTATTCTTTTGTTGTCGAGAGTTAAGTTGTCTTTTTCTAATTCCTTTTCTGACCTACGTCGTCTTTCTGTACTGCTGCCTGAAGAATGTCCTGAAATAAAGAACACTTTCACTTAACTCAACATTGTTTTGAGACTAATATTGTTTTGAGACTTAGAGTTTCAACCAGTTGTACATACTTCAAGTGATAGATGGACTGAAAGGTAATGCCATTTCAATGTCACTCTCAAGTGATTCTAAATGTTGGCGATAATACTACATTTTATTTACTTGCACTTGAAATACACTGCATTCAATAATAATCTAATTATAACTTTTTTATAACAAAGTAACCATCTTTACCATAGTTTGAAACTCTGAGCAGGGAAACATCATTCTTTGCCTTGCCATCTGAAAAATGATATGAACTCATGAAAACAAGTATAAAGGCATGCATTGATGAGTCATGCAAACACAAATTTGAATCAGTTTGATTCCTTTTCTGTACTTAAGATTTTGAAATTACATGCAGACAATAATTTAAATAACCAGAACAGCTAACAGAAATGTTATTTTGTAAAAGGTCATTTGGTTATTAAAATAAAAAACACACACATAACAAACTTAAACCTGATAAATGGTGTAGAAAACAGACAGAAGCAAAGTATTTTCTAATTATTCTATCAGTAAACTATTGATTTTCTTGATTTATATTTCTTCATCAGTGAGAATTATAAATCAATGTCCTGATAAATTTCCAATTACCTTGATCATGCTCATCTGGTAGTGGCTTACCAGTATCTGCCACAGTTATGCTGGCACACAAAGCACCTAAATTAGAAACAATAAATAAAATTTCAGCATATATCAATCAAATATTAACTTAATTAAGAAATATGTTAATTATGAGTAACAGGCAAGTAATGAAAAAAAAGACTTAAAAGACTTAAAAGTTTAATTATATTAAAACATATAAAGATAGCACATAACCCCAGTTAGATTTTCATCTAAAAATGTCCAAATGTCAAAGCTGTACATCAAAGGACAATAAAGTAAGTCACTGTGTCCCCTTGGTTAAGGTCTACCAGACAATGCCTTATTATTGGTTATGTGTCATGTTCCAAAATCCTGGGAAAAAAACCTGAGTACACTATTGATGTATATAAATGATTGTCCTGATGAATTTCATATGATAAATAACAAATTACCTAGGTCATGGTCATCTGGCAGTACTAGCTTTCTAGCATTTGTCAAGGCCTTGTTGGCACACACAGCTCCTAAACCAGAAACAATTTAAAAACATTGAGCACATATCAATGAAATATTAACTAAACCAACAAATATGTTAATTACTAGTAATTCTAACACAACCAGCAATTTTATATATTTATTTTTTATTTTATTTTGTTCTATAAAAATATTTTTTCTAAGTAGTCAAATATTGAAATATGGCATTCTTCATTATCTGTTATGTTATAGGTATAATTTACTAGTTACTGGTGATGATGTTGTTACATTTAAACATAGAGGAAGAGAATTATTGAATGATACACATGTTTATAGTAATCAAAGATTTAAGACGCCAAAATTGTCCTCTACTTATGTACACTATTATAAATAACATCCTTCATTAAGCTTAATAGCATTATTGTTTAAAGGTAAAGTCAATGAATTTAGATTTTTTTATAATAAATAAACCTATATGACTGTACTTATAGAGCAGAAAATAATAATTTCATCTTAATGTGTTACAAAATTTTTGTACCTTCGGTGTCAAGGCTTGTGTTTAAGCCATGGACAGAGGCTTTTTTGGATGTTGCCTCCATCCATAGCTTCTCACTGGGAGTGAACGCTGAAGTCTTTCCCCCACCAGTCTTTTTGTTGTTGTCCAGCTTTTCATTGGCTGTAATAGAAAATTTATACCTTCAATGTAAACACACCATTCCAAAATACTGTTTGCAAATAATTCATGAGTGTAGGAACCCAGTCTATGAATAACAGTTACCAAATCAAACACGTTCCAAGTATTAACTATATATTTATTGTTTTGTATTCAATTGCAATAAATAAATCTTGATAAAAGTTCATGAAGACTGCGCCTCTAAATCTGAATTTATCTATAAGATTTCTAAAACTTTCATCTGTTTGAAGCATATCATTCAGTTGATAACAATATGAAAGATTAAGGCTAGAGTTAGTAAATAAAAAACTTCAGCTACAAGATTAATATGCATCCGCTCACTATCTAGATAAAAACATATTTTTTACAATACTAATGAAATATATATAATAAGTTTACATATTGAGCAATGTCAAAGAAAATTCTAATGAAAATGCTCACCTCTTTGCCTTATGTTGGTTATTTGTTTCCTTAGCTGGACAACATTGATGGGGGTATCAGATACACTGAAATATAAGACACTGGTGATAAACTTCACTTTGAATTTTACATGAATACTGAATGAATAATCGTAACTGAAAACAGTTGAATAAAGATAATTATTTTATTCGCTCCATCTTGAAGAATCCTTAAGCATTTGGTGTTTAATAGTTAATCTCAAGTAAAATTGATCCTGTTCGTAATTACAATCAACAATTATCAAACTTTTAACAGTAAAAATGACTCAGCTTATGTCGGCTCCTTTGATTTCATCCCAAACTGTATATATCATCAACTCCCCTTATTTCGCGACTACCGTAAATTCGCGGCCATCTTTGTTTCCAAGATAGTCTCGGACTGACTGGTTTCTGCGCATGCGTGACCGTGGGAAAATTTTTACTAGGGAGAATTTACCTTGACCTCAAAAACATTACCAAAAATCATGCTGTTTAAAGATGTAAGAGCCTTCAAAACTATTTTCAATGTAAAACTTACCTTTTTCCTTATTCCCAAATATCTATAACATTTAAAATCCATTTTTAATGCAAAATTGTCTGAATTTCAAAAAAATAATAATTCGTCTGCTTCATAGTAACTTTCCATATATGGAATCACCCGCCACCTATCAAAAAATAAGGCCAAGCATATTTTTATTGTTAAATTTTCAGTCCTGTATTTTTAATATTTTTTTTTTAAATTTAAGCTTAACCCACAGTCAATGAAGAAAATCTTCAGACTATATTCCCCAACAGCACTAATAAATGCTAACAGATTTGTTGGGAATATGGTGTATCTGTATTAAAATGTAATGTGTGCCAAAAAAAACACATTAAAGAGACAGGAGTTTTGGCAAATTTTAACCAGAAAATTTTGTTATGGGCTCAGCACCTTTGTTTAGTCAGCTTGAAGAGGCTTATCTAGTTAAACATTTTTGACTATGTCTGATTATGGGTATAGATACACATTCCAAGAAGGTATTTATATTGCAGCAGAACAAATATGCTGTTCTCCTAGGCAAAAGGATCAAGTCTCATCCTATGTTTACTGTATTAAAACACAAGATATATTCACAAATTGAAGCAAAAATTTAAATGAAACCCCTTCTTCATCACTGATTGTTTTCATATTATCAATTTAATTTTACTTTGCAACACATTTTCTTTTGTAAATAATGTTGGTAAATGTTCTATAGTGTGGGACATGTCAGTCTCTAACCACCAGAAACATTTCATTCAACAAAAAAGTATAATTCAATTTTCAATGTTTAGGTAGCACCTAATTTCATATTACTGTTAATCTGTTAAATGTGTTAGAACAGTTATTTTTTATTAAATGCTCACTTTGGACCAAGTAGTGACCAAAACCACATATTCAAACTTAGATGTGGCCTAATTGTACTTTTTTTGCAAAGAACTATGGGATTACGTCACATCCGCGAATGGCGGGAAGTGAAACAAAATGGCCGCCTCCATTGATAAATGTAAACAAAAGGTGACATTGACCTTGTTAAAGATTATACATGTGAAATAATCGTGAGAATTATGAGGAAATAAATTGTTTTAGCAGGTTAGTGACGTATATTTCTTACTTGTTGACCTTTTATTGTTTGGTACGCCGGAGAATGCTTAGCGTCGCGGATTTACGGTAGTCGAGGATACTATCCAAATGACAGCTTCCAGCCAATCCACGATTGTTAACCTGACATTTATGTTCGAAAAAACTGCTGGTATTCTCTTTTGTTAGGTTTTATTTAAAAATATCCTTAAAGTTTTGTCGAAATACTGTTATCGTTTTTTTTCAATTGCAAATGTCGAACTTCCTGTTTCTTATGAAAAGGGGAAACAACTTCGCAACAAATTCCAATGTCGATAATGATCCAGAACTTTGTTAACTCAGTACAGTCCGGTTTTCATTTTTTCCTGTCAGATTTTATTAAACTTCAAGTTACCTTATTCTTCGACTTCTCAGCACAGAAAGATAAAATATTTTTTGAAAGATGATAGACTACTTACGCATTGACGGAGTCGGCAATACTTTGCCAAATCTCTTCTTTCTCTTTGAACGACACCCCTCCATCGCCGCAACCTTTAAATTTCCCCGTTAGAAAATCTTGCTGTTCAATATACTTCTCCATGGCCAGAAGTTTGGCTTTTTCTGGCCATGGAGCTCTCTTTGTCACTTTCGAGTCCATATTTTGGAAGCAGACGAATGACATTTGTACGGGAAAATTCTCGCGGAAAATGACGTTTCAATGCGCGATTCGACGGAAGTGTGAAGAAGGCCGCTCATGCATTGAGAAAATGAAAGTCTCAGCTGAGAAAAATCTCAACTGTTGAGAAAAAGTTTAGTGAAAGCCAACTTGAGAGTTTTCTCAAGTGAGATAAAATCTCAGTCAATATTGAGACAATCTCAAGTTGAGATTTATCTCAGTTTGAGAACGTTAGTGAAAGCCCGTCAGGGGCAAGTCGCTGTTTCCTTGCACTCATTGCTCTGCACTGGTTGGCATCAAGAACGGATGAATTCGAAAGTTTGTCTATAAGCTATTTATAGCTTCCTACACAATCAACCTAAAATATATTCTGTGTAAACAGAATTCCGCAAAAGCATTAATTACGAAAAAAAAAACATTTGAAAGGAACAGTTTTATTTAAAAGATGATGCAAAAGGGATGCACTATAATGTCTTGCAAACTTATAGGAAAATGTTTACACGAAATTCGTGGCTTTCATGCATGATTGTATAATTTGTATGTCAATGTCATTTCATATTAATTTACCATTGTTTATCATCATTTTAATATTCAAATCAATTATATATCAATCCATATATGGTTTTAATGTTCCAGGATTTATAATACTGTTTTGTTTTTCCGGGCGAAGGTCGGTCTAAAATCAGTTTGACTTCCTGGCACTATAAGAAAAGTTTTCATAGGCCATTTTAAAATTACAAAATGAAATCTGGGAATCTCGTTGGTCATTCTAAAATAGAATGTACAAGATAGTTCTTTTAATTAATTTTCTAGATAAATTGCTCAGATATTTAAGTTCTGTTTAACAATACTTCATGCATTCAGATATCTCATTACATTTTCTAGAGAGCAATAAGATAAAGAACTTACTGAGTTTATTTTACATAAGATCTGAGTTTAAGATCTTGTCCATAATAAGGAGAATAATATTAGGTGTCCAAAAAGTGTCTGCTATACGATTATTGATGTGTTCAACAGATATAACATTAATAATTTTAGTATATTTTTGCATATTAATCAAGTATTTATAACAAGAGGGCCATGATGGCCCTGAGGTCGCTCACCTGTATATAGGCCCCTCAACCCCCCCCCCTAAACGTTGCAGGGCCAATTTAACCTAAGGGCTTTTATTTGCACAAACTTGGTAGACACCCATAAGAAGATGTTTCATGCTAAACATCTAAGCTCTAGCTCATTGGGCTTTTTAAAAGAAGATTTTTTTAAAGTTTTTACTATACACATATAGTTAAAAACAATGACACCCCTGGGGCCGGGCCAGTTTTGACCCCATGGCTTTTATTTGAACAAACTTTGTAGACACTTACTAGAAGATGTTTCATGCTTAATATCTAAACTCTAGCTATTTGGGTTTTTTTTTCAAAGAAGATTTTAAGTTTTTGCTATACACATATAAAGAAAATCAATGACCCCCGGGGCGGGGCCAATTTTGACCCCAGGTCTTTTATTTGAACAAACTTTGTAGACACTCACTAAAAGATGTTTCATGCTTAATATCTTAACTCTAGCTATTTGGGTTTTTTCAAAGAAGATTTTTTAAGTTTTTGCTATACACATATAAGGAAAATCAATGACCCCCGGGGCGGTGCCAATTTTGACCCCAGGGCTTTTATTTGAACAAACTTGGTAGACACCTATTAGAACATGTTTGATGCTAAATATCTTAGCCATAGCTCTTTGAGTTCTTTAAAAGAAGATTTTTTAAAGTTTTTACTATATGCATATAGGGAAAATCAATGACCCCCGGGGCGGGGCCAATTTCGACCCCAGGGCTTTTATTTGAACAAACTTGGTAGACACTTATTAGAACATGTTTCATGCTAAATATCTTAGCTCTAACTCTTTTGGTTCTTTAAAAGAAGATTTTTTAAGTTTTTACTATATGCATTTAGGGAAAATCAATGACCCCCTGGGGCGGGGCCAATTTTGACCCCAGGGCTTTTATTTGAACAAACTTGGTAGACACCTATTAGAAGATGTTTCATGCTAAATATCTTAGCTCTAGCTCTTTGGGTTCTTTAAAAGAAGATTTTTTAAGTTTTTACTATATGCATATAGGGAAAATCAATGACCCCCAGGGGCGGGGCCAATTTTGACCCCAGGGCTTTTATTTGAACAAACTTGGTAGACACTCATTAGAAGATGTTTCATGCCAAATATCTAAGCTCTAGCTCTTATGCTTTTTTAAAAGAAGATATTTAAAGTTTTTTCTTTCGGTTGCCATGGCAACCAGAGTTCTGCATGGAATTAAATTCTTTGAACAATTTTTAAAGGTGACCACCAAAGGAACATTCCTGTGAAGTTTGGATGAAATTGGCTTAGTGGTTTATGAGGAGTTGTCATTTAAAGTAAAAGTTTACGGACGGACGACGGACGGACGGACGCCGGACGAAAAGCGATCACAAAAGCTGACCCTGTCACTTTGTGACAGGTGAGCTAAAAATAATTGCCTACCGACGTTAGTTTTCACTTACCGAAGAAACACATACATCTTAAAGTGTTCCATTTTTCAAGATTGATAACCCTCCATTTTTCTAGATTAATAACCCTTCAAAAATTATTATGTCATTGTTATGCAAGCTATGTTAACATTTCTATATGCCAGTTTTACTTCGGCCGTTTTTAAAAGATACTTGTTTTTTTTTTTGTTAAATGTTTTTTTTCCAACTCTTGTCGAGTCCCTCATACATCTAGCCAAAGACAAGGCAGGAAATGTTTATACTAAAGTCGTATAAGTTTTGTTATAACACTGCACATTGTGGACAAGCCACAGTCGCCCTTGGGGGGAGCAAGGGTTGTACGTACTCATACCCGAGTGCATAGACATGTACCAACCCTTACCACCATACATATCTAAATACAGAACCCGGATATGTAGGGTATTTGTGTAATGTTATACCAATAGCTATCCGGCTGTTTTGAACCTGTTATGAAGCCTTTTATATAGTGTGTCTTGTTTGGACCAACAATGGCGAAGCTCGAAAATTTGAATAAGGCAGTTTCTCATCATAAGTGTAAAATATGACAATTTATCATAACTAAATAACACAATTTAATAGTTTGTCATTATTGTTACCCGATTGGCTTTGAAATATGTCATTTAAAAAAACTAAGAATTAATATTACATGATTAAACAAATCATAACTACATCAAATTAAAGTAATGAGTTTAAAAATAAAATATGATAACAGGTATGAAGCCAAAAACTGGAACACAAATGTTACTATTTTTAGAACAATTTATTTTTTATTATCATTTGTGCAAATGTGCAGAAAGTACCGGATAACTATGTACATACCAAAAATGGCGGGTTCTTAAGACTGTTCTGGTAAGAATTCTGAAAATATATGAGTTCAGATTTTTTGTACAGCAGATTCTAGGAACGAAATATTTTTTGAGAATTCACGATATACATCTGCCCACAAGTAATAAACACCCGTTCTGTACGTGTTTTCATTGATAGAAGGGGTGATTTTTTTCTAAAAACCTTGGTTTCCTGTGATCCGCCTAAAATGTAAATCAGGATCTATATATTACACAGTGTGTCCATATTTGTTGTCTGTTATTCTCTCTATACAAGTTTAATCTTGAATTCAGTTTAAGTGACATGTGTATACACCAATGTGCAAATTACACCCAGTTTTCTTTAGGTTAGTATTCATTTATTAATTTAGACTTATACGTTTTAATACTTACAGTATACAATAGAATAGCATGAAATCCTCCAAGAAAACTTAGGTGACGTATGTGCATTTTATCTGGCACCAGTATATAGAACTTACATATGCTAGGGGTTCTCACCTGAAATTTGTCAAACTTTACCTCATCTGACAACAGGCAACTTACTCCGCCATCCAATTTAAACAAGCAATTAATCATAGTATTGCGAGCAATCCATAAGTCCCCTACAGTCTGTTTGTTGCCATAGCAACCAGTTTTCAATATAGGAAGAAAAGAAAAGGACGTGCATAATATCAAGACTGCCATCTATCCATATATCAAGTTTCATAAAATATTTTCAGGACTTTTTGCGTTACTGCAGGATCCAATTTTGCGAACGGACGGACAGAGGGTTAACCTAAAGTCCCCTCCGGTTAAACTGGTAGGGGACTATTTATATTGCTTGTATAACAATAGTTCAGTCCAATGACTATATGAAACTTTAAACAGATGAACAATGGGATAGCCTGTTTAGGTTCACATGTAGTTGGAACATATAATGGACAATATAAAATCAAATTCACTTCAATGAGTATAAATTTATATTGGATTGCTTGTAATTAAAAGATTTTGATTAAATGCACACGTTGTTTTGAAACAACTGTTGAAGTTAATCTATTGAAGACAGCTGTTCATTATCTTGTAAGTGAATGTTTTATTTTATTTCATATATTTCTCATGAGCAACAGACACTTTTTGTTAAAACTCTCTCTAGAAAGGTATCAGGTCTTTTATTTTTATAGATGTACACATTGTGCCTTTTGCAAGTGAAAGCTTTATACCCTTTCATATAAGGCCATACAATTTACAAATAAATAAGAAAACACATTACTTATCTATTCCAATAATAATCAAAAGTTTATTCTATGACAAAAAGTACATATAGATGAAAGTTTTCTATCTTGAATAGAAATTCTCTATTCGACTTAAGGCTATTAATATATACACAGAGAATTTGCATCCAAAATGAAATTTATACAGAAACTTAACAATTTGTGAAACAATATCTGACAGTGAAAATGGTACAATGATGATGATGTCATTTCATTACAGTGATGTGATACTAATAATTATAATGATGAGGACAACCTAACAATGGTGATGTCATTTACAATAATTATGTTCCTGTTAGAAAAACAACAGCTTTTGTTTACAATGAAAACATTAACCTTATCTGTAAACCGTTAAAAACTGATAAACAAGAAATCCATTAACATTATGTTTTAAAATTTGATTTAATGCTGTACAAGTTACCTCTGTCTACAAAGGATAGGTTTTGTCCTACCTTCCAAGACTTGTTTACATGTTTCAGTAATTTTATCTGAAGCGAGATCAATTTATTGATACACATAAAAAATCAAGCCTCTCCCCATCACCCTATAAAATTCAAATCCTCGGAGGCATTGCTGATGTTACTTAATACTAGATGTGTTTTGTTCCCATACATGATGTGAAAATCATCATCTGAGTGCCATTTTGCTGACTTTAATTTAAAGCAAGTGTTGAGATTTTTTTATTGTTATATCATTTCTGATCAAAAAAAGTATAAACGCATCTTAACCAAAATAAACCACAGCATGTTTTCCCTATGAAAGCAAAAGGTAACAACCATTTATTTTGACATTATGGCCATGATGCTTTGGAGTAAGACAAGGTGACCATTCCTGGGAGTACAGTAATAGGATAAGAAAGTGAAAGCTTAAAACATTTTACTGCCGGTACAACTTAAAACAGAAAACATTTTGTAACATATTGCTTCCCAATTCCACCTTGCAGTTTCAATTATCCTAAAAATGTCCAATGTCATCAATTTGTGGCCCAATATTTCCCAATTTCACCATCGTTATTTCAATGTGGTCTTAAACTTATTGCTCAAGCTTCCAATGCACTACATAAAATTCTTTTGAGGAGAATATTAAGAGATTAGTAAGTTGGCTTATGATCAACTGTACTACAATAATAAGTCAATTTAAAACTATTCTGTGTTTAACCTGCAGCATTTATTATTTCAATATTAAATCCTGTACACATGTGCCACATATTTTTCACAGCATATAGAAAGCCATATAAATTATACTATCTAACAATAAAGCATGATTTATTAAAACATTAAAATACATTTTACCTGAAGACAATTGTTATCTTTATAAATTTACAAACAAAATTCTGATATGTACAATACCTTCAAAAAGAAAAAAAAACAACAACACAAAATATCCGTTGTTCAAAGTTGTGAATAAAATGAATGATATTACAGGATGAATGAAAAATAAATATCTAGAGCTAATTTACATGATATTTGTACATGTATTAACACCTTATTACAGTAAATGTTTTAAGTAAATGTAGTACAAAATAGTTTCCATAGCAACATACTTGTCTCTATTCCATCAATGCCGTCTCCTCTCATTATCTAATAATATTTCAGGCTTCTTTTTTATTTATCAATGTCTGAAGAAATACTGAAGAAACTACAATTTTCAAGGGGACTCTGTTGCGAAGAGTTTAAGGTCTTAAAATCTTAATGCCATTTAACCAACATAATTACTACCCCCCCCCCCAAAATAAACCCCACTAATAAAATGCATGACAGATGAGTCAAATTGTATTTACAGATTCACTTAAAACAAATACACTACACTGTCCAATGTCAGAAATAGGAACACATTATCAATATCAAATATTTCAACAACAAAATTTTAAATATATTCAATATACAGGCACACTTTTCAAAATTAGTACAGCCACAACTCAAACTACATCTACAGTCTCACAGACTTAATCTAATAGAATACTTTATTCTAAAATCAGGTCCTGATCATACAACTTGGGTTGTGCCTAATTTTACCAATGTCATTTCACAAACATATCTTTGGGTTCATTTATTAAATTTGGACATTGTAGCTTGCTCCTTCTTTGACCAATTAATTAAATCAGGGGAAACAGGCAACTAAATTCTGCCCTTATGTGACCCATTCTGTCTTCTTTCTCAACCTGTCCTTTCTCCCTAACTTTTATATTGCATTGCCATCCAATTCAATGTGAAGCTCTCATAGATATTCACAAAAACCATTTATTCACACACGTTTCCACCCTATAACCAAATTATTATCAATCCATATTTTTATTTTTCTGTGTTTACGAAAACAACCAGTTTTAACATGATTCAGTCCTGGTCTTGGTCTGGACTTTCCTTATAGAACTGGACCTTATATTTGTAATATTTATAGTATGGAGATTTATCCGGGTTGTCAATTTCTTTTTTCGACGTTTCACACGGCCTGTTGTCATCAGTCTCCCCCATTAACCACTTGTTACACTTTGCCTCCATCTCCTTTGTTACGTTTCCTGAAAATGTTTGTAAACTGATTTTGTAATATACAGTTAATTCATATATAAATTTTTAAGATATGAATAATTTAATCATTCAGACACTTAACAGGGGGTTTATTTAAGGATTATACTTTTCACTGCACAAAAGGTAAAATACTTCAAACATCTAATTGCCTCTAGCGAAAACAGGTTTCTGATATTTGAATTTCATACAAAATACCACTGTTGGGTCAAATCAAGCCTTATAAAAGGAAGCTATCCAGGAAGTTTGAAAAATAAAATGTCTATGTTCTACTTAGATGCAAACTTAAGACCTGAATTATTCAACAGAGCCTTGGGTATTCCTTAAAAGTCACAAATTACATCAATAGTATTAATACATGTATGACCAAAAACTAAACTATTCACAACAGGAGAGGGGTAATGTAACAATGTTATCATTTGGTGCATAAAGTATGACATGCTAACCTTTTCTCCATTTCTCAACCCATGAACTGAATTTGTTGTGAAGCTTCAAGGAAACTTTCTGATGAGACTGAAATGGAAAATAAACAATATTCACATTATATCACTTAACATGAAATAATTATTTCTAAAACAGTGAAAAATCTTGTCCAACATAAGTAAATTAATAACAATGTCAAATACATTAGTACCTGCAAACACATATTATGAAAAATCTCTGAAATATTGTTGGACAAGTTTTGTTTGTTCAATAACTTTTGTAAATATCAAACACTGCAATTATATTTTTACAAGTTTTATAGATTTTTGTGGTAATCATTGCTAACAAGAACATAATTCTGTTCAGCAATCTGTAAAGTACTTTATTGTTAACAATTTCCATGTAAGAATATCACAGAAGAATCACAGAAAATTTCAAAATCTGTGTTTAAAATGTCATGGAAAATTACACTCCACCAGAGCAAGCCAAGCTTAAAATTTGATTCCGATAACTTAAACACACAATTTTCACATCCCAAGTACATGACCAAAAATATTTTTTTTCTTTTTCTGGTTTTTACAGAAATTTTAACACATTTCACCCGTAAAGTTTGCTAATTGGGTGTGTCTTGCTTGTAATAAAGAGCTTAAAGTTTCCAATCTCAACAGCCAAAAGTATCAGGTCAATTCTGACAGGTCTAAATACTGTCAATGTCTGGTGCAGTACTGATGCCATAGGAAAGCCATTATCATTTCCAACCAACTATATAACAGCTAAAATGTTAATATTTCAAAAATAAAGATGTCTCCAATCTAAAAGGAAGATAAGATTTACCTCTCTTGCACGTTGTAATGCCATTCTTTTATAAAGATAACTCTCACTGTTCACAACATACACCAGTTTGAATGAGTTGACGTTAAATTTACAGTCAGTATCGTCTATAACGTCATCTGACTGCTTAACACCACTTTCTTCCTTTACACCATCTCTAGCATTATTATTGTTTGTATTTTCACTAGAATCTGTGTCCATTTTCTCGCCATCTTCTTTATCATCCTCTTCAGTGTTTTTCTCTTCATCAGATTTTTCCTGCGAGTTCTCGCCATTATTTTTATCTTTGGCTTCTGTCAGTTCTTTAAGACTAGTCTCAATTTCTACTTTGTCAGTTTGTTCCTTGTTTCTCTGTCTCCACTGACGCACATTCCTATATATTGAATCATTTATATTTTAATATAGCACTAACAACTTACATTGTTAGTTAAAGGAAGCCTCCATAGCCAAGTGTTTAAATATGTAAATTATTCATGTAAATTAATCCTAATGACAACATAAGTCTTCCAAAACAATTTCAAATACTTTAAAATAAACTAATTTTGTTAGTTTAAAATTTATATTTTGAGCTGATTTGCTCATGGACAATCTTTGCCAACTTTATCTGTTTCTTTCTATTTTCTTTCAAAGATATTTATAAATAATATTTTTCAGATTTTATTTTTCCTTTTCATTTTTATGTTTTACATTTTCCAAAGGATTACTAACCTTGGTAAGAACACAGGTTTTCTTGACAAGACATCTTTTAATTCCTCTTCAACATTTTCTCCGGTGTTGACATACTTCTCCACATACTCTGACCAACGTTCTACCTCCACCGGATCTTCTATATTCTCATGATCAGTGTCCAATAATTCCACTGTCAGCTTACACTCTTTCTTAAACTATAATTGCACATAACTGAACATTGAAACTGTACTAACACATTATTGAACATTGAAACTGTAATTACATATTATTAAACATTGAAACTGTAATAACACATTATGGAACATGGAAACTGTAATCACACATTATGGAACATTGAAACTGTAATCACAGGTATTTGGCCATTGAAACTGTAATTACACATAATTGAACATTAAAACTGTAATTACACGTTATTGAACATTAAAACTGTAATTACACGTTATTGAACATTAAAACTGTAATTACACGTTATTGAACATTGAAACTGTATCACAGGTATTTGATTATTGAAACTGTAATTACACATTAGCAAATATTGAAACTGTAATTATTAGCAAATATTGAAACTGTAATTACACATTATTGATCATTGAAACTGTTTTACACATCATTGAACATTTAAGGGTATAAAGCTATAACTTAATTTTTTTTTAAAGAATATCAATAAAATTTAAATTATATTGTTTCCATAATCTTATGGTTGATTCTCAAAATTTAACACACATGAATATTGGACGTAAACATAATGAAATGTTAAAAACATAAACATCACATGGATTCTTCAATATTTTATGGTAAGGTGTGTACATACCACAATAATTTTAAAGCAGTTTTCCTCGGTCAACAGCTGTTCAGTACGTTTCTGGTATGTGTTTTCCATTAGCTGTCTCTGCTGGAACGTAGCAATAGCGCCCCCTGTTGCCTTGTTTTTCTTCTCTTCATAAAACATGTCTGTTACCTTGACACAGTTGTCGTCGGATACAATATGCTGCAACTGTGAGTATATAATAATCCACATTTAATATATAATGTATACAAGATGGTATAAATATGCTGATATCACAGTGTCTTAGCAAGGCATGTTGAAGGGCATGTATTTGCATGACATACTCTGAGACATAGTTAATCAATTTCAACACTGAGAACAATCTAGAAACCACCAGCAAACATTATCAAGTGATACTAGAAAAAAGTATACTAAAAGTAATCCAATGTTTTAGAAACCATTTCAGGAAAGCAAAATCATTCATTTCCCAAACTGGCAATTTTAGTGCTAATTTTTCTCCAAGTTCATGAGGCTCTTTCCCCAAATTCAAGAGGCTAAGAACTCTTCCAAATTATAAGAGAAAAACCACTGTTACTTTTTTTTTTAAATTACAAACTACCATGAGTAGATAAGTAGGTTAATTATGTGAGCTCCTACCTGTCTTACAATATTCTGTACTAATTTGTCCATGGTAAATGCGATGTAAGCATGAATGCCGTACATTTCTCTAAGCTGATCCTCGTATGACGAGCTCTCCAGGTTCCCGTCTAATACATTCTTTATCATATCAAGGAAATATGGGAAATACTCATCTGGTTCTATTTCACCTACAAATAAAACAATATATTAATCTATATACTAAATCACTTATGTTTTTCCCTACACTACATTAGACATATGGGGCCCTATGCCTCTCAACAACAGCTAATATGTCAATAGGACAATGATACCCCAACTTCATTTGCTGCTTACAGAAGCACATTAACTTACTTATGTATATTCAATAAAGGTCAAGTGTTATATTAAACTTTTTCACAATAAAGGATTAATTAATATTTCCAAATTAACAATATTATGAAATACTATTATCCTGTCTGTACAATATTTCAAACTTACAATGTCAGGAAACCACTTGCATTAAATTGGCCATGTGCTTTAAAGATACTACAAACAATCTTTATACGCCTGACTTTATACGCCTGAGGACAGGACAAAACGCTTTTTTCAAATATTATAAATTAATTTATAAACATGAACTTACTAGGAGCCTTCAATCTCAATGCAACAGCTGTAGATTCTTTCCTGTCCTTTCTACATAGAGCTTCCTCCTCGGCAACTTTTTGGGAATGACAGTAAATTGTGTGTAGACGCTCACATAATAACTGATGTAGTCGAAAGAACAGGTACCAGTTGTTGTTCACAAAGAACAGTGAATACAAATCATCCTGTAACATATCATAGAAGTGTGAGAATCCTTATATCAGTGTGCTCATTATATGTAACATCAAATTTTAACCTGAAACTTTTTAAATGTAACCTACACAAATATAATGTTAGGCTAACACATATGCTTAACTCCCTAATTTTTGCAAGCCATTAATTTGCCATTCACTCAGTCAAGAATAAATGTAAATAGAATTACATAACTTAAAGTCATGACCAGCTGTTCTTGTCAAAATAGTCATTGCTTTTTCAACTTGACAATATAAACTGCAAGTAAATGGTTCAACCAGTACATTCCCAGGGCCATAAAAGGAGGAATTTTAAATCAGTTACAACAACAGCATGCTGGGGACACTATATGTTCTTTTACTTACTTACATCTTTTACTTTACTTATGGCTAATGAAATATAAAGACCTTGAATCCAGTGACTCCAAACAAAGTTGAAGGACAACCAAAGCAAAGGTATCTATCTACCTTCCAAATTTGAAACATATTGGCCAATAAATAAACAGTAAGTTGTGGCAAGTGTTGGTAGGTGTAAGGCCAAATTTAAAATCAACTATAACAATGGCATGCTGGGGACACTATATGTTCTTTTACTTACATCTGTCAAGTCGACTTCATCATCTTGTTCCTCCTTTATTTCTTTCTCTTCTTTCACTTCTTTCTTCACATCTTCATCAACCTCCATCTGTTCTTCTTTTACTTCTACACTTTGTGTATCAGTTTTTTCAGAGTCAATTTTCTCTTGTTTCACATTTACTGTATTTGATGATTTACTGGTGTCAGACTTTTCATTATCAGATTTTTCTGTATTATCTTTTTCTTTGTCTGTTACACCTTCACCATCATCAGATTCCATCTCATCTACAATAAAGAAAGGATACAAATACAGCACAGCTTATAATTCAAGATCACATTTGCATTCTGCACACTACAAAGTCAAACAAGGGTATTTCTCAATTCTTTAAAACCCATTCTACAGAAGAAATGCATTACCTTAAGAAAATGTATTTTAAAATCAGTAATCAATTGACCAATTTTAATGCAATTTGTTAATCATATACAGTTAGACATTTTGAAAACATGATTGGTAAATATAATATAAATATATCTGCTAAGATTTTATTCTTCAATCATGTTCCTAAATTACTGAAGAAAAAGTTAATCTAGAATAAATAACATGTTCAAATGGACAAAACTAACTTTCTTTTTCTCAAATCAATAGAGATCACTTCTATAACTAGGGGTAAACCGTTGTTTCTGCAAGCAAGAAACTTTACACTCATGCTTAATACTGGTTGATTCCTGGAACAGTGTTTGAATAAGCTTACAGTTTCCAACACAATCAGACTAAAATAGATATGTATAAAGTAACTAGGTAAAATTGTAAGGGAGAAAACTTACCATCATCTTTGTCCATTTCATCATCACTGAGATCCTGACGTGCAGTGAAGAATAAATCAGGGATAAAATGTTTCAATAATACTTTAATTCTCTGTTTGTCATCTTTATGTATACCTGTAATATGTTCAAAACAAATTCATGAGAAAACAACCATGATAAACAGTTAATATCTGACAAAAGCAGTGCTTTTCTTACACCCTGTCCCCCAAATCACTTTAATTGGACCTATTATATAAAAATTTCTTTAGTACTTGGAATTCAATTTCTTTCAAGGTGGTTTTTAACACACTTATCCAAACTTAGAACTGTTCACTTATTTCTTCCCAGTTTAACTAGTTTTGGGTCTTTACAAAATGTTCAGGTCAAATTTACAACATAACTTTTTTCTTTCCTTCTTGGACTTACCAATACTACTGCCATAATGATATGGAGGACCAGTATAACTACATTTATAGTATAACCAAAGATCTAAAACTCATTAAGCTTACAGTTACATGTGTGACTCAAAATTCTGAAATCCACATTGCAACAAAATGGCTTAAGATGTACTGTTAACTGTCTGTACATATGCCCCTGTCAAGGTAATTAATGAATTTATTTTGTATATACTTGTTTGTCTTTTCATGTGATGTATGATCAGTCCAGCAGCATCTTCAATGATAGATTTATCTTTGAACACAAAACTGAGATGTGGGGAACCAAAGTCAGGACCACCTTCCTGTAGCTGCTCTTGACGCTGAAATAAAATATATGACCGGACTTTAATAGCTTACTATCCATGTACAAAGATTTTTCATCTTATATAACAGAGGCCTATAAAAGGCCTCTTCCCAACTGAAATTTTCTTTAAAATCATTCAGTTTTCAAAAAAAAAAATCTGAACTTACACCAGCTTTTTTACTTCCCAAATTAGCAGTTTAAGTGATATTTTTTCCTAAAATCAAGAATCTAAGGTCTTTTTCCAATCATATGAGAAAAACCACCGACATTCTCATTTTTGGTAACCCTACAGGGTTTAACAAACATTTCAAATTCAAGAAATTGTCCAATTTAAAATATCTTACTGAGCATTAATATTCCAAGACAAACTGAAAATAAAACTTGGATTAAACCATTCTTAAGTATATTACTTAAATGATCTTCAAATGTTTTTTTTTTCTTAATGCAATTACAATGTACATGCCACAATGTAGAATGTTTAATATTCAAAAAGGTATAGTTAAATTAGGTTCTGTAAGTACATTGTAAATCCATATTCCAAACACGACAGATCTTTAGCTAAACTGCGTGGAAAATGTTTTTTCTTGCAAGTCTCCAAGTACTTACAAGTTTTGTCAACTACATAATCAAGCATATTAGTTAAATTCAACTGTAAGGATTAAAACATTAAATATATGTTTACCTCATCATAGATAGTTTCTATCTCATTCAATAAGGCCTTAGATCGTATAGCTTTAATATCATTCTGTTTAAAGTTTATTCCCTGATGATCCAGTGACTTGAGATAATATTTTTCATTTTGTTCTCGCCAAATTCTGTTGAAATTTCTCTGAGCTTCCCGCCATTCCTCTTCTTTAGCTTTTAACCTGATTAAATAAAAATATTTTAATTCAATTATTAAACAAAGGGCAACAACTCATGGGAAATTAGCAGAAGTATCTAATGCCCAACAATGAAATCAGTCAAATTTACTATTTTGTAAATGGAGAAATAAAATAAAGAATAACAACTCCAGACTTAGAAATTTAACATGATGCAATATTAAATTAAATCAAATTAAAAATTTTGCCAAATAGTGTAGATAAAACACTGGGTAACAACCATAGGGAAAATCCTGACACACAAAACTGAAATGAATTATATGAAGTTTGAGTTTACAACCATATTCATGTGTATTTTATTTATTTCTTCCAGTAATATCAAACTGCTTTTTTGCTTCTCCACAAGGTTCCTGAACACATGACTTCAAACAATCCCATGAGCATAAACAGTTATAGAAAAAGAAAATTACAATGTTTGTTCATACACTCAAATCTATATACTGAGTTAGTAAACAGAACTATAGAAAAACTAAATATTTAACTCAATACTAGAAATGTGTCATCATGCCACGGATGCCCCCGCATGCAGCCAAAATTTCAGATGTTATAATATTTAGTTCCAAATTTGTTTGCACAAATTATTTTTTTCATTTGCAGTTCAAAGCCCTTAAAACTTTTCAATGTTAACACAAACCATTTTCATACAATGTTCAAACCACTGAAATTATTTAGTCTTAACCTTTTGAAAATAGCATATTTCATATTTGTAGCCAAAATAATGGCTACATACATTTCCACAAAAGTATGAGTGCTGAAACTGAAAGTTCAAAATTTTTCCAACATTCAAGAAAGATAAGTTTGTCCAAAATCATTGAACCACGACCAAATTCAAACTTTCCACAAAAGTATGAGTGCTTATTCCTAAGATGTATCTATATTATTTTCAAAGTGAAAGGGACATAACTCCGCCAAAAAATCATCAAACCATGACCAAATTCCAACTTGACCTGCCCATTCCTTTGACATATCCATATGTCAAATTTGAGTTGAATATGTAACACAGTTGGGTAGATAATGAACAGAAAGTGTAAATTTCATATTATTTTCAAAGTAAAAATAAATTTCATATTATTTTCAAAGTAAAAGGGGCATTACTCTGCCAAAAATCATTGAACCATGACCAAACTCGAACTTGGCCTGGGCATTCCAAAAACATATCCATATGTCTAATTTGAGTTGAATGTGTTGTACTGTTGGGGAGATAATAAACAGAAACTGAAAATTTCATATTATTTTCAAAGTTAAAGGGGCATAACTCTGCCAAAAATCATTGAACCACGACCAAATTTGAACTTGACCTGCGCATTCTTTTGATGTATCCATATGTAAAGTTTGAGTTGAATGTGTTGTACCGTTGGGGAGATAATGAATGGAAACTGAAAATTTCATATTATTTTCAAAGTGAAAGGGGCATAACTCTGTCAAAAATCATCGAACCATGACCAAATTCGAACTTGACCTGTATTTTCTCAAGACATATCCATATGTCAAATTTGAGTTGAATGTGTTGTACCTTTGGAAATGAAATTTGAACTTGACCTGCGCATTCCTTTGATGTATCCATATGTCAAGTTTGAGTTGAATGTGTTGTACCGTTGGGGAGATAATGAATGGAAACTGAAAATTTCATATTATTTTCAAAGTGAAAGGGGCATAACTCTGCCAAAAATCATCGAACCATGACCAAATTCGAACTTGACCTGTATTTTCTCAAGACATATCCATATGTCAAATTTGAGTTGAATGTGTTGTACCTTTGGGGAGATAATGAACGGAAACTGAAAATTTCATATTATTTTCAAAGTAAAAGGGGCATAACTCTGCCAAAAATCATCAAACCATGACCAAATTTGAACTTGACCTGTATTTTCTCATGACATATCCATATGTCAAGTTTGAGTTGAATGTGTTGTATCGTTGGGGAGATAATGAACGGAAACTGAAAATTTCATATTATTTTCAAAGTAAAAGGGGCATAACTCTGCCAAAAATCATCGAACCATGACCAAATTCGAACTTGACCTGTATTTTCTCATGACATATCCATATGTCAAATTTGAGTTGAATGTGTGCAACCGTTACTAAGATAATGAACAGAAACTGATGATGACGGAATGACAGAATGACGGAACAGGGTAACACTATATGCCCCGGCCATTACATGGCGGGGGCATAACAAAAACAAGTATTTAACTAAAAACCATTGTCTAACCTTACAGAGTCAAACTGGTTTGTTTCGTAAATAACTGCAATGATAAGTAATTCACTTACCTCTTAGAACTAGGGGTACAACACCGCAAAACTGGGTTTTCTTTAAAAGCCATCAACAATAATCTGGGGGCTTTATCACCATATTTTCTGTAAACATTAAAAAAATAGTCAAAAACTATATTTATATTTAATTGGATCAAAAAAAGTTGCCTCTTTGGCCCCATAACTTTTAAAAAAACTTGTTCTTTTTCCCATTAAAGGCCCAATATTAGAAATTGCAAAGGATATATTTTAAGCAGGATTTAGGCAGAATGAAAACTGTTAACAAAATTTTTTTCGCTTTGCATGATAAAAGAGGTACTCATTTTTTAGTTATCTGCACACCTGCATGTTATTCACCAATCTAATTTTGAAATCATGAAAAAATATCTCATAAATTTTGAAGTTTTCATGAGATTTTTCTTCAAATTCTACAAAAGACATGCAGTACATATTTGAAGACAAACCTTTGAATAGCTTTTCTATGTAGAACCTCTGATGTTCCCCCGAGACAGTTATCTAACTTAAATTTAGCTGCATCTTCAGGTGCCATCCTTGTTAACTTCTTCTGTACAGATTCCAACACTCTAATAGTAGACAAGTTGGTTTCTATGACAACATCAAGCTGAAAAAGAAAACAAGAGTAACCATCAAATATTAACATCAATAATGACCTGCGAGTATATGAGGAATAATTCAGCAAAATTGAGGGTCTTGGAAGGTGACCTATCATTATTAACTTTTCAATCAAGATCTTTAACGAAAATTTGATAAAGTGTTGTGTCAATTTAATTTTCAATAGAAATGTCACTATTATTTTTTTGACACTAATTTTCATTTCATTTAAAATGGTGAAAAAAGGGAACTCTGTCTTAGCACAGCATAACTAACAATGTAGCAGGTTTGATTTGACTGTACCTGGTAACTGACAGTTGTACTTAATGTAAGCTACTACCCCTTCCTCACTAAAACTGACAGAAGCAAAATTATGATTTATTATTTTAGTAATATCTGCAATGTGTTCAAATGGTGATAACCATATTACATACCTCAAACCGCTCATCTTCACATCTATAAATATGTTCTTCAAACTGCGTTTTCCGTGATGTTACAAATGTTGAATCCTCTGACCAAGAAGGGAATGACACCCATGTGTCATTTAACACCTCTTTACACAGTGATGTTCTACCTGAACATTTTGGCTGAACATACGTCTTGGGTAACGCTCGGTAACTTGCTCCATACTTCTTACATGTCGCATAGTCTGTTATAATAAATAAATCATCACATATGTATTTACATTCTTTTTTTTTTTTTGTTTTGTTGGGTTTTACATTGCACTTATACTGTATAGGTCATATGGTGACTACCAGCTTTACTGGTGGAGGAAGACCTCCGGTGCCTTTCTGTGCATTATTTCAGGCACAAAAGGTTCCATAAGCTAGTCGGATAGCTTCCTCACATGAAAGAACCAAAAGTCCCTGTCAGGATTCAAACCCACAGGGATGAGGGGCAAGTGATTTGAAGTCAATGACCTTAACCACAGTATTTACTTTTATTCTTTGTTAAATATACTTGTATGTCATATGAATTATATTTGTGATAAGTAAGCAAGAGCTCAAAAAAAACCCCTGAATGATATTGCTATTCATAGTATCCTTTTCAATTATTATCAACATCAGACAATGCAGGGTTTACATTTTTATCTAAGCAACAGATGTGCCGACTAAAAACAACCCATTTGGCCGAGGGTCAAGGGGGATATTTTAATCTACTCGCTAAAAATACAACCAACTTAGAGGCATTTTAACTTATGATATGGATCATCAATCTGTTAATAATGAAAACCCAGCAATGTTACCACTCTCTGTCACAGGCTTGACAGAAAAAAAATATCTTCAGCATAACTTTTAATCTAAAATTACTGAAACATTACAGAACTTACCAATTTCCATAGCAAGTTCTCCACTGATTCTCTCCTTGCCAGTAGCCCCTTGAGGCACTGACTCCACTGAGCCACCTGATTCCTTATATCCAAGGAAATCTTTAAACCATTTAAACAACTCGGGGAACTTCCTGATATAGAAAATGAGAAATGCATTACACAAAACATGTATTTATTGTTGTTAATATGGATAGTTATGCTGCAAGTTGAAAAAGTTAATATACCAATTAACTCGATATGTATGAATTAAATACAATTATCTACATAAACAGATGAATTCAAGAAGCTCCTTTTCCCAAATCGAGAGGTTAAAAGTTCCAAAATAGTTTTATTTTCACAAACAAATAAGCCACTGGTATAGATAGCGTTCAAAATGTACAATACCCAGTTTCTTACCATTTATTTCAATATGTCATTGATATACCTGATATAGGTGGCACACGTCACTTACCCTAAGAATGTTTGTACCAGTTGTACAAGCTCAGATCTAGAAATCACTTCTTGATTAAACAACACCAAACAACGTAGAAAATTCTCATAAACTTCTTGATGTCGTAATGCTTTCCTTACCTAAAATATAAACATATTGCTCTTAATATGTTGCTTGTTTTCATTGGTAAGAAGACAACAGTTACATAAAACACATGTTAAATATAAATGATTTGGACGTCATTGATTTGGACGTCATTAACCAATGTGAAGTTAATGGGTGACAAAACATGACTGAGTTGCTTTTCTGACTATGTACAAACAGTGTGACCCAAAGCATGCATTTGTTGTTTTCTTGTTTCTTTGTTGGGGTCGAGCTTTGAGTCCATTGGATTTTTTACTATGGCATATTAAAGCTTTTTGGTTTGAAGACCAGACCTATGGCCCCCATGTATTTATCTTATTAAAAACCCAAAATACATTAAATTTGGTTAAAGAAATTTGCCATTAAAATTCAGTGAAGCTAGTAGCTTAATCTTATTGAAAATATATCTGAATTTTATAAATAACATCACCATAATTTTTCTATGGTTACATGTTTTTGCCAGGCTAGTAAAAAACCTAAGATCTGTGTTTAAACTAAAAATGTGGAGCGTATCCTGCCTTAAACAGAAAAAAAAAGGAATGATTTAAAAAATTTAACCTTTGTCAAAGAAAGCATATTCTTTAGTGTTTCCGCCTTTACAAAGCCTCTGCAGAAAACATCCTTTAATGTTTTCAATTCCTTGGCTTTCTGTATTTAAATATTAAATGATATACATTACATTTTTGCACAGGTATATTTAATAATTTTTAAATAAAATGGTCTCCTGAACCTGTTGAGCAAACAGTATAGAACCTTAATAGGCTGGCCTGATAACACTAGTGGCAAAGATGTTAAGTTTTGGTCTCAGGCATGGTGAAATTATGACAAGTTTTGCATTCCTATTCTACTATATAGGAAGGTAATATAAACCAATAAGTAACATTTTGTTAATTTCACTATTCTAAAATATCTTTTAATGCTTTATTTCTAATTTTGTTTTTTCCTACCAAACTAAAAACACCTAGAAGAATGGCGACTTTCCAGCACTAACGGGCACCTAAGTTGAACCCCCTAATGTTCCATAACCTTACTGGACAGCTTCTTCACATCAAAGAATCCAAAGTCACAGTAGGAATTTGATTGTTTGAGTGGCAAGTGGTTTACAGCTGAAATACTTAACCTACCAGCCATGGACAACCCTTACTATTACACTTAAGGAGAGGGATTATTTCTCCTTTAATAACCTTTGTGCACAATATTTTAAAGAGTTTTGTTCGTGTCATCTATACTGGTTCTCTAAGGTAAAATTAAATTAAATGTATGTTACATATAACAATCAATTTTACCTTGATGATAGGCTGTTGAGCACTAGAGGAAATTGACCTTCGTAACTGATTTGCAGCCTTCGCAGTTTGACTCTTGTTAGGAAACCCAGGCTTCTTTACTGTAGAGGAGTGGTCATTCCGTACACCCAAAACTGAATCAGCACCAAACAGGGACTGAAAGTTAAAGAAAGTTTGTTTTTTATTTCCTATCATTTTGGTCAGAAAAAGAAATTTACATTTTTATACAAAGGCTTATTACATAGACACTTTAAGTTAAAACATTAGCTTATACGTAGGACATTTTAGTTAAAACATTATTTAGGTCACATCTCGTCTTAAAACATTTTTTTGGACTAAAAATTATACCAGTCATATTGGAAACAACTGAACAATAACACAGCTAAAAATGTTTTAACAAACCAGAAATACCTTTTTTTTTCTCCACAAATTTTTAAACATTTAGGTAAGAAAACAGGAATATATCAGGAATTTTTTTTATGTTTTGAAAAAAAAATACTACTCATATAATAAAAAACTCATTTTGGCGGAAATCTAAAAGATACACAAATTACTGTCATGGATTTTGTCGTGAGCTTGGATAATTAAATAATTTTTATAACACATACACTAACATAACCCCTGGTATGATGGATGAACCATTTTGCAATCAGGGAGAAAACTGGTCCAAATTCTGCTAACAGATCTTCCTGGTTCTGGAAAAGTATTGGCAACCTGAGCATAAACTTCTGCTTCAGTGAGAGGCTTGTGTCCCGGAGACTAAACGGTCGCCTGAAATGGGAAATGTGGAAACCACCTACAAAATTAACTTTAACTGAACTTGACCCTATTGTGAAGTACATGTTTAGAGTAAAACATCTTTAAAAAAATTCATATAATTATGTTTACACTGACAATTCCAGAACAAAGAGAATTCAAAAGCTCAAGTTATTAGTCCTTTAGTATTTCTCCTGGTTTGTGTTTTTCACCAATTATACAAGCCTAAGTATTATTGGGAAGAAATCTTGGTTCATCCAATTTATCAATTCATGGAATGAAATTTCGGTTAATTGTTAAATCTCAAGTCATGAAACAACAAGACTGGCAAATTTTGTAAATGATTACTTAATGGATTAACTCTTAAACAGGAAGAAGTGAGTATTTGAGTATTTTGCTAAAAAGTTGGGTCTCAACATATAAGACAGATCTAATATTTACCAGGCCTCCTTCTTTTTAGTTCTTTGTTCCTTCTGGTATGTATGCAGTATCTCCAGAAAATGCTTTGTATATCTCTGGCTGACCTTGGAAACGATTCTGGCAATAAAAAAAAAAAAAACTGACTTTTTGTTGTGTGTCTTTTTTTATTTTTTTTAACATCTTTTGTATGTTGATACTACACCCAAAAAAATTTTAACAAATCACTTTTCAATTACATAACTTTATTTTACTGATGGCCTACAGAAGTTTCCCTTTGGGCATCAAATTAAATTTTCTTTAAACAGAAACAATATTAAATTGATTATTTCTATATATTAAAAGAATTGGATTCTATGTTTTCAAAGGAATTTACACAAATTTTAACAGAATAATGGCTTAATGATTTTAATGTTACTGATTGTCGTCCATGTGTTGCCCTTTCCTTTTTTTTGTTCACTGTTTTATTGGCATTGATTGAAACTCCAACTGGTTGCTGGCCAAAGGCTGGTTTAACTGTTTTGAGCCCCATGATTATACCGAGTCGGGGGCCCGGCCTTGGGTGACTGGTGTACGTGGTGGGGATGGTGTGTGTTGTTAGCTGCGTAATTTGGTCACATGACTTTTTGACAATGGGCCCTTTTGCTTGGAAAATACAATATTGGAAACTAAATAAATATTCAACCAATTGTTGGTGAATTAGGATTTTCTACTGTTCGAGGCTTTTAATAGAATCATGTCTTTAATAACGTATTTAAGAGAGGAAACAAAAATCTCAAAGGAAGGTTTGGGTCAATTGTTTTTTAAGTCTCCCATCAAGTTCCCAATTTAGTAAACAGAAAATTGAATATCAACAACACACAAAGATAAGAACATCTCCTTATGTTTATTTAAATTGAAACTTAATTTTCTAATTCAAATGAAGAAAACCTCTTAATTAAAAGATTAGTTTCAAGTGGAAAATATGTTTGTAGTTGTAAAAATTTCACCACCAAAAGGCAATTAAGCAAAAGTGTAATAAAAACCAAGTCCACAACATTCTGAAATTCCTTGAAAAAATAAAAGCAAAACCTTTAATCAGAAAATGGAAAATCATTCCAAATTTCAGCGAAAAGGAAAAAAGATTTCCTTCTATTTATTGTATTCGACCCTTTAAACCTCAAGCAAGACAAACAAACATACAATAAACCTTATCTTAGGACTCAACTTAAAATTCATTCAAAGAAACTTCAAAGCCATTAATAGGCCCCTGAAAAATTACTTAAGAATGGAGAAATAGTTTCAGAGTATTAAACATACCACATAGTCATATTACATTACTTTAGTTGTTGTATTAGCTTGGCAGCTTGTTGCATTCTGGTTTAAAGGTAAGAATTGGGACACAGTTTGTTGACCTGGTTGGGATGGACGTTAAATTCCTATTTGCCACGCTGAACTTCTATCTTATAGCCCTGTGGCAGAACGTGTTAAAATCCAAACAATTAGCTTCTGGATGAACCTTTTGAAACAAGTTTGGAAAAACCCATTGATCACGCCTTTGGTGTTCATTACTGAAAGATGAAAAGCAAACATGTTAATTGGTATGTTTAAAAAGTACAAGGGGTACCAAATCAATATTGGCCTTTCTAACATATAATTATTCTTGCTGGGTTCTCAGAAAAAGTTTGACAATCTGACATTCAACACTTTTTGTAAAAATTTGGCTTTTATATTGCCACTGAGCATCAATTTCCAGCTTTCATATGGGTGGAATAATGTGCCTCCTATATTATTACAGACAGACACCTGGGTATAGAACACCTTGGGCTGTCATTGTATAATTGCCACATCACTATCATGATAGTCAACTGTCAATTCTTACTTTCATTCACAATTTAGAATAAAGATACCATTTCTACCCAATCTTGTGAAAATATTTTTTTCTATTTTGTGACAAGATGGAAAGTCACTTCTTCTGCTATTTCTTGGCTAACTTTAACCATTGAATTTTTAATGTCCATTAAGATTATAATTACAAGGAAAACCATACTTTCATTTAGTATGATTTCTGATGAATTTAAAACAAGCATACATAACACCATAATAACAGTTAAAAACATATATTTAAATGGTATTCATGAACCTTCACTAGTAAACATTTTTGTAAAACAAATAAGTTTTGATATATTTGGTTTTTTAATTCATTTTTTTTTAACTTAAACTGTCTGTTACAAAAATATATGATTTCAAAACATAAAGTAAAGTAAAATTTTAAGATTATCAAGTTATTGTATATTCAATGGCTGGATGCTTTTTTCCAGACCGAAATAAGAAACTTACGTCTGAGATTTGAACTCCTTCATGATGTTAGAAAAATCATTTATACACCTGGGGCTGATTTCCAAAACTGAAGCTTCACTTGATCCAGGTTAAAGACAACGCATCTTCAACCTTTAAACCTCTGAAACTGCTGCTGCTGACCTTGAAACTTGTGCTGGCATGAAAACCTATAAGGTAAAATAAATAAAAGTTTTTAACACTAATGTTTTAAAAAATTGTGGTTACAGTCTTGCTTGGAAGCTTGCTGTCCATCTTGTTTTAAAATCCCCTTTGCTTAAAGATTCCATTCTGATTGTCAAAGGCTTTTTGACATGACGGGACTGGAAATTATCTTCAATGATAATTTAAACAAAAATCTTGTGTTGCATTTTCAGACCATTCCCATACCCTGTTCATCCTGAAAAACAATTTTTTATTGCGCAAAATGACAAAACAGAGACACGTTGCAAAGCTTTTCACAGGGAAATTGGGCTCAGAATCACACAAAAAAACAATATTCCATTTTATTTCTGTGAATGTTTTCATCATTATCCTTTGGCCCAATTTTCCATTATTTAAGCATTTCACTTTAACTATTTAAGAAATTCCCATATTTTATGTTTTTAGGCTTTCTGACCTTAGTGGAGTTTATTTATTAAATTAATAAGTTCTCATACATCAGTCAATTCCATAATGATTACTGAATTAAAACTGATACATGACAGCAATTCAGAGTATATTACCTGAGATGGTGGAGGATGCCCAGCAGAAAGGTGAGCCCCAGGCCCTCCAGGTGGTTCCCCAGTGATAGTTTTGATGGCAACTGTATGGGTGAAGCATGCTGATGACCTGGTTGACCTCCACTAAAAAAAAAAAATATAAAATATTACATCAACTAAAATGAAAATGCAATCTCACACTCATTTCATGAAGAAGTAAACTTTAAAGAGTAAATTTTAGCAAGTTTGACTTTTATTGGTAATTGTTTACACATCTGTATGTAATGCAGCTTTTTAGCAAAAGACCATTCATGTAAACAATGTGACTAACAACATTTTGTCCCTTTCTGACATGGGCAAAGAGCTACATGTGTTGTTATATTATGGTCAGCAAAATACAAGTACCGTGGAAAATTGCTTGTTCAGTTATTACGGAAAGTTTTGAAGTGGAAACTGAAATTCCCCTGACATGGTTTCAGCCGCCCTCAAACCTTTGTGGAAGGCACTAACTGGAGCCCCAATCAAACGCCTGCTGCTCCAATGGAAATGTAGGAGTTTCCCTCCCCTTGTGCTACTCTCGCTGACTGGTTTTCTTCTATATGTGGACCGCTGCATTCTATTACATTCATGACCCAAGAAAATTTAAAAAACCTAAAAA